CACCATTCACCGCCGCGGCAGAGCTCGAACGAGGCCGTTGCGTCTGGGGAGGCTTGGGATTAGGCTTCGGTATACGCTTCTCTAAGACGTGCCACTCCTTCTCGATCTTGGTCATGGTGATCTCAAAGACCGCCGGCTTGATCGGCTCCAGCTGGTCCTCCCTTCTTTTCGCATTATATTCCTCCAGCCACTTCTCATCTTGCTCATCCATATCATATTCCACCCGGCCAACGGCAGCATTGACCTCACCTTCTGAAGTGACAGGGTTCGCCGGATCCAGATCATCTTCCTGAGCACCCTCTGTCATGCGGATCAACCGACGGTCATGGCGGAGGAATAGGTCGCTTTCTTGATACCCTACACTCGCCATAGTGCGATCAACATAGTTCTGCTGACCCACTCCAGGTTGGTCATAGAAAGTGAACGGGTCGCGTATGCGGAACGAGGGCTTCGGCAACGTCAGCCTCTCGCGGGGATTCGGGCCTGGGGGTGGAACATTCTTCTGTTGGTGTGTGATGCCCAAGGCGTTGAGGATGGCCTCAGGTCGACGAGGAGGGCGGCCTGGTCGGCGCTTGATAGGGGTCGGTGACGAGCCATTCGTATGCGCGCGAATCAGCTCTGCTATTGGATCCTTCTCATTCGTCTTATCGAGGCCGTTTGGCGACAGGATATGAGCAATCGATGATGTGGGAGGTGGGCGATCCACTTCTTCTGCATCGAAGACCGCAAATTTCGCATCAATATCAAGATCCGGATGGAATTCCTCCCAACCACGCTCCTCTCGCGGCTTATAGCCATCCCCTTGTTGTAGAGCAAGGGCAGCTGCCGTCGATGACCCAAAACGGCCTCGGTTCTGACTCTTCTCTCTTCTCAGACGCGCGGAGGGAGGTGTCGTCGGGACAGGAGGTGGCGGCGGCGGAGGCAGTTGTACAGGCTGAGGTTGAGGTGCTGACTCTGGAAGTGGAACTGGACCATTGCGACCACGAGAGTTGGAAGAATTACGTCTGACTGCTGGAGAGGGCTTGGGTTTCGGCGTATCCTTCACCCCCAGCTCAATGTATCTCCCACCACCACCCGGTCCGCCAGGGACATACTTTCGCTTCTTGAGGGGAGGGCCTTCGTTGGTCACCGATGAGTCGGAGCTCGAGGGAGGTTTCAAGGTCACTCTAGTCTGGGATCGGGAGGGTCTGCTGGGCGAGCGGTGGCTCTTGGGCCATGAGAGGGGCGCCATAGTTTCAAACAAGGCGGGAATAAGCGCGAACAGAGACGGATAGGAAGTTCAGCTAGAAAGGAGTTGGTGATAAAGCGACGCCGAGCGGTGCCGCTCAGCCGCACGTTCTAGGATTTTAGACAAACGCACGTCGCGCCGTAAAGCAGGTAGAAAATGGGAGTCAAACGATCGGAAATAAACAGAGCATGGCTCCTCCAAGCCGCCAAGGTCGGAAAGGACAGTACTCGACAGTGAATGTGGGCGACAATAGAGAGGGGGGAAGACGCGCAGGCCGCGAGAGGGCGGGAAGTTGACCAGATGCTGTGCTTATGATAAGCAAAGCAACCCGCTTGGCTGGCCGTCGGGCCCCAAAGGCGGAGAGTCTCAAGCCGCTCTCCACATTCGCGCTGCTTCCCGCCGACCTTCCTGTGTCTGTCAGTTCCGTCCCCTCTTGATTACTTACTTCCCAAGAGCTCTCTCCCCATTCACAAAGCCCACTTCGTTGTTCTGTTTACCGTCTACTGGTTAGATAGTTAACAGAATGAGTGGCCCCGGTGAAGAGCGGTAAGTTTAACCATCCACTCTTTTTTTTCCCAACTGAATTACTACTATACTCCCCAGATCTCTAGACTAACAACAACCCACCCGTGGGTATGCATTCTAGATGGCGCGGAGGTCGTATGGGCGACCAGAACCGCCACTCGGCGCAGAGACACTCCAACGCCCGCACCATGAGCGCGCATGGTGGGTCTCGGGGAGGACAGAATAATTGGGGAGATTCGCGTGACCAGTTCGCTTCCGGGCCGCAGCAGGAGCAGCATGTCCCCGTGCGAGGCTTCAATGCCGCGGAGGCGAAGGGAGCTCTGAGAAAGGGTAAGTTTAGGCCAGCTTCTACGCGAGCATTGGCACCAGCTAACATACAGCTTGCGCTGCACTTTAGGACCGGGAGGTGCGTATACCACCACGGCTCATCCGAAACCAATACCTACGATTACCTATCGCTAACCTTCATCTCCTCTTCCAGAACCGAGACCTTACTACTACAAACCACAAGGAAAAGATGTGAACAACCGCGCGAGCGGACCCTGGGGCGCAAAACGTACGTGACCACATCCCCAGGAAACAACAGCACGAAACATACGAACAATGACCTAACTCGAACAACAACGTATACAGCCAACCAAATGGCAAACGGCAAGGATTTCTTCCTCGAGCTTCGGAAGCAAGTGACGGCACTGCAGCAGGGTGGTACTGTTGCAGGTGGTTGATGGAGATTGAAGGTTGAAAAAATCGTACAAAGTCGACCGATGCTGAAAACTTCAGGCGAGGGTCGGGAGATCTGAAGAGCCCGAAATGCTTGTCGCTGCTGGTGGGGTGTGGAGATGAGCTTTCACCGTGGGTGATAGGCTGATAAGCTGTCACCTTTAGAAACCGGGGATTGGGATAACGGTCTCGTCACAGACATACTGGTGCTGTCTTGAGCAGATCGGATTTGCATCATGTGTTGTCTTGTGTTAAGGTAGCGCCTTTCGCATGGCTTGCGAATTACTAGTTCATATGACAAGGAATGAAATGTACATGATTATACAGAGTCCTTGAGAGTAAAGCTCACTAGTAGTGGTGATACATGGATTGTGATCTATATACAGCTCATAAAAATACACACTCGAAGCAGAGTGAAGTGGTAACAACATCCATCCCCAAAATCTATCTATTGTACAAAATGATCCTCAGCTCTCTCCCACCCAAAAGGCCCAAGGACACCACCATCTCCCTCCTCTCGCGGATCCAGTGACCATTTTCTAATAGCCCGAGAGGTAAGATTCGTGCGCCAACCCGCCTCAAACATCTCCATACCCGCCCAAGCAATCATAGCAGCATTATCCGTACACAAGTACGGCGGGGGAGCAACCAGACCAACGTGCCCGAACCCGCGGGCATCCAGCCACGAGCGCAACACAGTCATAAGGTACTGGTTTGCCGCAACGCCACCACTAACAACAAGAGTCTTGACCTCTTTCTCCGGCCCTTGCTTAGCAAGACTTTCCAACGCCATGATAGTGCGCGACGCCAGATGCTCAAAGCTAGTCCGCATTGCCTCGCGAGCCAGAGCTATCCGCTCCTCATGACTGATCGTTTGACCGGCTGCCTCGCGAGCGGAGAATATCCTCGCTAGCGTACTCCCTATGAAGCAGAAGCTGTATTGCAGTTGACGGCTGTGGGCCCACGGCTCTACGAAAGACCAGCCCCAGGGGTTTTCGCTTTTGCGTGGGAGGAGTTCATCGTGGCGGGATTTGGGGGCTTGGTAGTCGGCGTAGTCGGCTTTGCCGTTGGGGAAAGCGAATTGTTCGAGCAATTTCCCGTACATGGTGCTCTTTGACGTCTGGAGGAGGTAGGGAGGGATGATTTCGCGGGAGGCTTTGTCTAGAGCCTCTCCGAGGGCTCGGTCCACTGTTGATGCCATGATTTCGTGATCGGTTATGGAGGAGGATTTGACTAGCATTGTATGGCCGCCGGAGGCGAGGATGGAGAGGAAGGGAAACTCGGGGGTGATGGGTTGCTCCGACGCCGCGACATCCTGGCTGTTATCTTGGGCCTGGCCACGGTTCATGCACGATACAAGACGAGGAGTCAACAGATGAGCCTGCATATGATGGACTCCGACGAACGGCACCTGCCATGCGACAGACAGCGCCTTTCCTGTATCTAGCCCGACGAAGAGGTTCGAGCGGAACCCCGGTCCCCTAGTAGCGCATACGAAGTCGGGTTTCCTGCGTAATTGCGAATCACTCGAGACATTTATCGTTTGGTGCTTTTCGTGCTTCGCGACGGGTAGGTGGGCGAGTGCTTTATGGACGAGACTTGCGATGTTCTCTTGATGGGATTCGAGAGCCACGACCGGGTGGATGCCCTGGTATGCGCTAGTGTCACAGGTCACCTTGTCGAGGAAGTGTATTTGAACGGCATTTGATTCTTTCTCGACGATTGCTACCGATGTGTCGTCGCTGAATAGATCAGAACAATTAGCTATGCTGTCGCGCAAGTGTTCGGGCGGATTAGATTAGACGCACCAGGACGTTTCGATGGCAAGTGTGAGCAACCCGCGGCGGCTTCGAGGTAGAAGACTCCACCTCGGAGCAGTACACAGGCCTTTGCGTAATGCTGAGGTGGAAACTCTGCTCAACATTGGAAATGATTTGAGAAGCGAGTGAAGGAAGGCTGAGGCAAGCTTTCTGGGTATGGCTTGTCGGCGGGAAAACTAAAGACTATCGTATCGGGATTCTCGTCGCACGGGCCATCGAAACCCGGGGCCGCCGCCGCTGTTACTATAAATCGCTCCGGTCGGTCTGAAGTGCCTAGGATCACCGCTGGCGAGAATTTTCCATAAGTAGGTCTACTAGTTTACTACTAGCACCGAACACAATGGAGCCATAACGATCGTCATTGGGGCAGCCCAAGGTAGGCCCTATGCTAAGTACAAAACGCCGGACCGGATCATCACATCATGAACATAACAGGTATCATATACACGCTGAGTCTATCCTCAATCCTCCAGATGCATTTATCCCAGTGTTTCCGCTGCACTCAAGGACATCCAATGCCCCGCGCCGCCAGACATACCCCGAATTGTCGTTGCGCTCCAGATGCCGGATCGACTTATCACAACCGAGTCGGAGCGGGGAGGGCACAGAAACCGTGGCGCATAAAAAGGCTCTTCGGATTCCTGGCCCAGCATCCCGCCGATCTGCTTTCGGCCGTAGTGTTGGTTGTAGCGACATCAGCCTCGTCTTCATTCACGAACCGTCCAACGTCGCTCCTCGCGCGACAACTTGGTGTAAGTGCCATAGTATTCCTCGGTATTCTCGATGGGCGTGACACAGTGGACAGTGGGAGTGCCCTTGAACTGAATCCGCTTTTCTGCGTGATTCGAGGCGCCCGAATGTTTCTTGAGGATACTCTTGGACGAGCACGAGTTGTTGTAGGCGTAGCTTGGTACTTGGAAAGACGAGAACCGCTTTGCACTCGGGCTCGCAGGGGAAATCGGAGTGCGCGGTATGGCGCTGGGAGACTTGAGGGACAGAGGCTGACGAGAAGTATTTTGCGCAGCGGAGGTGCACAGTGAAAGCTTCGGTCTTGCGTTGCGAGCGATCATTTTGACTGACACTGATGGGTTGGAAAGATGATGGAATGCAAAAAGATATCTTGTTCTTTGGGCGGAAGAAACAAGTAGAGAATAGGCGCAAGGAGCAGCAGCACAAGATTATCAAGGAAAACCACTTTGATCAACAGAGTGTTTCCAATGAGGCAGGCGTGTAAATGATACTATTATTACTCGATGACGTGCCAAACAGGAAGCTGAAAACAGATAGTCGCCTGGACCAGCCAAACGAACTACTCAAGGATGAAAATAGAACGGAAACAAAAACCCAGCAAAGCCCAAAACAAATTGTGTGTCAAGAAAAGAGGAAGAACCCTTAATCCCCGGGCTAGCTGGGCGGCTATATAGTTGTTCGACCTTCATTGCTGGGGAGAAACCCTGGTGGTGGGGAGGGCGAAGGCGAGGGGTTGACCTGGCGATGGATGGCAACCTATTTTAAGAAACTTTGGGTCAGGAGGTGACGATTTGCACCCATCCATACTCCATGATTCGTTGTCGTTCAGCAGGGACCTCGAGACTAGGTGTGATGAAGGAGTGACTTGTGCCTTTTCGTGCAGCTGCTCGGCGCTTAGAATGTGATGAACACTAACCATTGGCTGCCGGCCGCCATCCCCCTCGTCGACCACCCGGCATCTTCACAATTTCCCGCAGTCGACGATCGGAAGCTCCCCTCACCATGAAATGGACAAGCATTCTGCAGAGTTTGAAGTACCGAATAAGATGGTTGTTTGCCGTGGGCTTCGGAGCACACATGGGCGAGCGTGTGGGACATTGACGGCACTTGCATATGGGCACACCGACATCACACCCCACGACCGAACCATTGGTTCTCATCGTTCGTATCCCAATGACCCCCCGTGCCATTTTAGATGGAAAGGGCAAGATGCCGGCTTGCCAAAGTGTTGACGATCGTGCCAACCAGCCAATACGAGTGATGGTGGCTCTGGAATGTCTCCCAGAGGCTAAGTCAAGGTTTCAAGCGAGCCCGGTCTTTCCCATTATCAAATTCCATGATCACAATGGTAGGATGGTTGGGGGAAGCCAAGGCATCAATGGCGGGGTGGCTCCAGGAAGGGTTCAGGCTGCCTCGAGGTCCGGACCGCCTGGTGTAGAAACTCTTGCGTGTGCCGAGATCAATCGGTTTTGTAATTTGATTGAAACCCTTTTTCCAATTCGATGGCGATTTCAAAGAAGCCGCTAAGATGTCGGAAATGATTGAATCAACCAAGCCAAGAGGGTCATCATCCGTTTTGATTTCTGTCATCAGAAGTCACCCTTCGCAGCAGAGTTCGGAACCGATTTTTCGGCACCGGAGTAATCGGCTGTAACTCGATGGTAGAGGATTCGCTGTTGCGGCGAGAGTTGTCTTCATCCAAAACGTACTTCCATTGTCCATCGGCCGTTTCGTGTCGATTAAGTTTGTATCGTTTGTCCAGATCGACAAAGTGTTTTTCTCGATCGCCTTCACTCCATGCGTACGTTCCCTTGAAATCGTTCAAAACTTGTCCATGAATGACCCAAGGGATGATAGAGCCGATGGACCGTGGGATGCGAGGAAATCTGAAACGACCTCTCCTGGTAAGGAAAACCGAGGCGACAACGCACCCATCGAAGACCACTATTATTAGGACATACATGAATGATGGAAACGATGGGACCACCGCCCATGACATGTTGTAGATAATACCGTCGCTGATCCGAGCAGGATGGTCTTGAAGTTGGAAGTAAGCATCCCGTTCAAGCGATAGATCAGTTGCAAAGATTGACTGGTAGACATTGCGGGTGGCGGATTCGAGAACATTTGCGGTAATGACACTTGTATTGGTGTCCAGAATGCGGTAGAGGTTTGCCGTGAGGGTGCCAAACCAATCAGTGCTGCTTGCATTGTTGGTTTCTAGATGCGAGCCATTGTAAGTGACGCTTAGAGGGTTTGATAGCCTGAGGTTGTAGTTGGCCAGGTTTGTCGTCCCGTTGCGTAGAATCGCATCGTCCCTCACAAATGTGCCATTGAGAGGAACATGGTACTGTATGTACCCATCAGAGTTGAAACCAACGGAGAAATTCTGCATAATGAAGAGGGATTCGCAATACAACGCGACTGCGGTATCGGGTGTGGTTTGTAGATAGCCACCTCCGCTGGGGTAGGCAACAACGACGACAGCAGGCTTCTGACAGCCACTTGATTGTGCAAATGTTGGTGAAGCGAAGAATCGAACCGTCAAACTGTTTCCTTGGCTAGCCTCAGTGTCTTGGATTGTGTCAATTTGGCACACCGTATCTGATTCGTTGAAAGGCGAGTATTGCCAACTGGCTACATTTGTTACCGGGTCCTCGGAATAGCTGTCGGCGATCGAAAGCTGCTTGCATACTAGATCGGCACCAACGCCCCGAATGGTGCCCCCAACGAGCCATTCGGACGATGTGTCCGTCCATGCAGGGAGAAATGAATAGCTGGATGTGGTCCAAGAGAGCACCGAGGTACCACTGTAGATGCTGCTCTTAATGGTGTCAAGTTCGGGGCCTATTGGCGAGGCTTGTCTTATGGCGATTGACGCATAGCTGTAGTTGGACTTCATATCAGCATCCGCCCTCGTCGGACCAAGCTCGTGCCGAAAAAGCCCGCTGGCTAATATGCTCATTGCGGTATTGAACATACAGGCCACTCCTACGAGTCCCAGCAAGAAGTGGCGGTAACTGAACCACTTAAATAGTGAAGCAATAGGATTCAATGATCCGTACTCGAGCAGTAGGGAAGACGCAGCGGATGCGCCCCCTGCCTGAAGAACAGACCATGGTTCCAGAACGCTCAGGTATCGGTATATCGAGAGGCATAATGCCCTGATAATGGAAGCGAGTGCAGACGGGATGAGTTGGAACAACGCCGCCAGACTGTCGGAGTTAAGATATGTCAAGGAATGGAATGCCCCATTGTTGGCACACAGCACGAATATCGTCACAATACCTGCAAATACCGCTATAAAGAGGAATATCTCAAGAGCGAAAATTGGCATAAGGAGGAAATGAGGTCTTGGATCGGGTTTGCCTTGAAAGATCTGTCTTTGAGACCGAGGAACTAAACAGTGTCAATATGTCTAGTTTATGAGGCCCTCACCGAGGCAAATCACAATTAGTGCAAGACTTACCAGCAGATGGCTCAATACAAATACGGGGAGGGTCAGAAGCTTGCTGCCAGCGGCAAGTATAGTTCTTGAGAATGGTCCTCAACTGTCTGGTTGACAACTGATCTAGGTTCAAGTGAGACAGACACGAAGCATCAATGACATCGGCCATGATACCACACATGGATGCGATAGAAGCTGGGTCACTTCGAAGCATATTCGGGCGATTTGGGTAGGTGTAGGCCAAATACAAAACCATTACCACTCCGAACAGAAGGATTGCCTCGGAGAGGAAGGACTGTACCGGGCCAACAATGATGGCCATCTGATGTGTCACATGAGAAGCTTGCACATAGTGTGACTGACTGGTGAGATCGAAGATCCTGTTCATCAACGGTACAAAAGCGCCTTGAACGCTAGTTTCCAGCTTCGAGATAAGATCGCGATGAAGTGTGGATGGTCTCACTGGCTTCTTATTGAACGTGGAAGTGCCATTGGTGGAGGCCACCTCTTGCAAAATTATGCCTTTGAAGTGGGTAGTATTGAGAGAAGCTCTTGAGACCTCTGTAGTCGAGTTCGGATGCAGATCAACGATTGAAAGCGAACCATTTACTTGCACTGAGATGCCAGCTTCCGAGGTCAGATAGACAAGCTTGCAGCCAAATCCATTGACCTGATGGTTGTAATCAGAGCTCGAATAGTCGGATTTCTGGCGATCAAGTTCACTGGATTTATTGAAACTGACGTCCACCGTCAGTCCGATTAGGTCGAAAGAAGCACACTGCTTGGTAATACTAGTCGTGGATGCGTTCGGCTGCCAGTGTGAGATCTGCACAGATGAGTTTGTCGGCGGTATGGTGATTTCCTCGCTGAGTTCCAGGGTGCAATTATCGGTTGTTGACACGTCGTAGAGGTTCCAGATCAAGGGTTGTCTAGTGGGAGATCCGATACCGAATGAGGAAGTATTGGAGGATACATCAATGGTTACGGCATCTTCCACGTCGATCTCAGTACAGGATAACTCTGTCCAATAGATGGATTGCGTGAGTTCCCACATTTTCGTGTCGTATTGAACATCTAATGGTATAGCCACCGGTGCCATGGCGTACTTGCTCGATTCCGGCTGACTATAAGACAGGTCCCGATGATCTCGAATGCTGGTCGTGTTCTGGATGCTGTTATCCACCAAGGACCCCTGCTCTTCGAGGTTCACGATAGTCGGCCATGTTTGAAGGTGCTGATTCTTGTAGACGGTAGCATCATCCATGTTGAAAAGACTACTTTGCAACGACGGGAATACCAATTGCAGGAGGATACTCAGGATTGAGATACAGACCGCAAGCCAATGGCGGTTCCTCATGGCAAAGAATGGCGCGGTTGTATAGTGACCGAATTCGTAGTTGAGAAGAAGCACATCAGCCGGAGCCCCTTGGGGTCTTGATAGTTGGAAGTACGGTTCGAGCCGAAGAGCGTCATATTCAACGAGGGACCATAAGACTGCGATAACCATGCTCAGGATCGTGGGAACGTAGGTGTAGGCGAATTTTCGGGTGTCGGTGAGTTGGTCAGTCGAGGTAAAGAGACTGAGGCTGCCTTCATTGTTGCCCAGTTGTCGAAGAAACTCAGTCACCAACAGCATGAAGAACATGAGGCAGGCCAACGGAATCAAGTATCGTCGGCGCAAGGTCCGCGGAAGCCATCCTGAAGTCCGGATCTGAGGAGCATCGCGGGTAAGCTCTGTTGTCATCGTTCCTCGGTCCTTCACATCTGTCAAAGTTGCCTAGCATAGATCACCGGAGGGATATGGCTGGTATCAAAAACCAGTCACCGCATTCAACCGCGATTCGACATGGCTGGAGGAAGTGTTCAGGAGTGAGGCGCTCGAGAATTGGGGAGGCACAAAAAGGTCACTTCAGGGTTGCCCATCGACGGATATCGCAGCTGATTGACTTGTCGACACAGTGTGATGGAAGAAAAGCGGTATTCAGGGTCCTCTTGTTCCGATGATGCGGCTGGTTGCGCGAGGATCCGGGCTGGGCGGGAGGAGAGTCGATGAGGAATGAGATAAGAAACGAACCGGGTCGTGGTGCTTTGGAAGGCGACGAGCCCCGGCGCCAAAACCATTTTAGAAAAATAGCCAGTTTGGGGGGTGGGCAACTTGGCCCGTTTGGGATTAATTTATTGCACTGGGGCCTATTGGTACGTGTTCCGGGTGGAGCGCCCACTTAGAGACTTGGAGGAGAGGGGGTTTGACTGGTGATGCGATCCGCTTCGCAGCCCGTAAAAAGGCCACCAACCTCGCCTTACGATCCACTGCATTTGCAGCAGGAAATCTGGCTAGGTCTTCTAGTCCCCTTTCGACGCGGGATGAGTGTTGTGGTTCACGGGTCAGTCTTTCCCTTCTGCCGTCAGCAGTCTGCATCTCGGTGTACTCCCAGCCCAATCAGTATTAGTGGGTCATGGCCCTGGTTGATCACTGTGACTGTGACAGTCCTGGAGGATATCCAAGAAGAGGCATGATCGACGGTCAATAGATTGCATGATGGTGGTCGCAAAAGGGTGCTGCAAAGGGTTCAGACCTTCGAGACTAACAATGGGGAGGGACACTTGAGTGATGGTGGACTGGTGGACTGGTGGAGGACACTTGCCATGGCCGAAACTTGGCGAGGGAGAAATGACGAATCTCTTTGGTAGCGCTCCAAGGCTTGGTATTTTTAGCCGCCCTGGTGCCCCACCGAGTACCGTCCCTGTTTCTTCCCAGCGACCTGGTTATCTTCTTTTACGCATCTAGATATATTAACCTACCTGGAAAAGTCTTTGCACTGAGGAACAGTAGTAAGATCACGGCTTTCTCTTTCCTGTCTAGATTTGACGGTAACAGCACGCTATGGGCCTGGGCTTATCAACTGAACAGCAAGGCAGCAAGGTCTGTCAGCATGCCATTCGCCCATCTACTGATAACCTTAAAAATATTCTGCATTGAACCTCAGCTTACAGCCTATTGCAAATCTTGCACAATCTGAGTATAAGCTGTGAGTCGTACTCAGATCACAGGAAGTTTAGTGGTTCTATGACCAGCCAACCTACCACTTGACGCTCGTGCTTGCAAGAATGTACTAGTAGATAGAGAGGCGATAATAGCCCAGCTATTTGTTTGTCAATACTGATCGTATGCTCAATAGACTTGGATTCTATCCGACACAGACATCCCGCTGTATTTTCATAAACCTTGTGCGAGCACTTGACTCATCACATGTTATGGGAAACATACAATGATAGAAAATATACGTGGTGCTAAACACAGTTGACGGATATAAATGATATCAAAATCATGTTCTCGAGATAGTAATATATGACGACCATATAAGGTTTAGTATATAGCCTGCGCACTCTTTTGATAACCGATGGCAGAGCTCTTCCCTACTATATCTTATCAACGGAACCCTTGAAGATGAGTCTATCTGGTGGGGATCTCAGGGTCTGCGGCCGAACCCCTTTTTTATCACGAGAACTACCGGCAAGAAAGAGCCTTTTAACCTTGACAGTAGCTTGAATTCTGGACTTTGCCTCAAGAAAAACCAAGACAATTGTTCGGATATATGGGTTGTATTCAGAAAACAAAACTAGTCTGCATAAAGCCTAGGTCGTCCGTAGTGCTCGGGTTGGCTTAACCCAGAGAACTGCTACCTAGTAGAACTTCATAAAGTATACTGTCTACCTTATAAAATGCAGTATAGTGGCCTGAATTATACCGTGCGATCCCAAATATACTGCATTATATGCTACATCATAATATGAGAGCATACTTAATGGGTGTTGTACAGAAAGGGGCCACCATGCAGATTCGAGGTATATGTCGTAGCCAGCAGTTACGCTAAGATGGCTCCGATCGGCAAACATGAAAAGAATGAACCAACTCTCCACTGTACCAAACGCATTGCATTGACTAAATCCCCCCTTTTCATATTGTAGAGCGATAGCACAAGATTAAGAAAGAAATAGAGAATACAAACATTGATGAGGAAAAGAGTTGTTGTCAGTGTAGATCGGCGAAGCTTTCGGTCGAAGGAATTAGCGCATGGTAGGAACCAATAAAGCGCGATCGAGACGCACTTGGCTCTCTGGGCGTCACTGCCGGTACTACTATGATCACCATCTCACTCAATGTACTCCGTACCTGTCGCTAATTTAGATACGAACTTCTGCAACGGTTGAACTCCAGCCTTACCCGCCATTGTGGCTGAAACGAAGCAGAGCAGTGGCAGCCCTCTCTTCGGATACGGATACGATGGATCCTGGATGAACCGCCGCTAAATTCGGGCCCAGACCAGAGTGGCTCTCAAAAGAGGTAATACCGCGTGTGACCTACCTCGGTGTGGTCCATAAGTGATTAGTAGTTTCTCCATAACTTCTTGGAAATCGTTAGAGCGTTGATGGTTGCTGGACAGAGTGATGGGTCTGCCTAACCCAGCAGACTAGTCAAACTCACCTGCCTGCCTGCCCTGTTTTTTTTCTTTTGTAGGGACCATGCAAACACGCCAAACCCCACCAGGCGCCAGGTATCCACGGAAGTATGGCAGCCACGGATGACGACAACTTCTTAACTCAATTCTTCGTTGTCACCTTGGCTCCCCTTTCTCCTTTTTCTCCGACTGGCTTCCCGGGATCTTGTTGCAAGACTTCAGACAAGGTAGATCCTCTGGTGTCAGGCTCGAGACAACACATCAATTCCATTTGCTGGGCTCATCGTTAAGTTCCAGTGTATGCGAAGCTTCCGCCTGCAGTGCAGGGTAACCTCGACCACCGGTGTACATGACCTAATCCTGGTTTCCATACCTTGAACATCACAAATGGGCGCGGTGAAGAACATTCTAGAGCCTGCGGGTAAGTTATATCCCTGCTACTTGCAAATCCGCATCATCCGAAGAAGCATACTCATGGTCTCGTCCTGCTGTAGCGATTGTCGCCGCCTTCACCGCAGGAGCACTCATCAATCGGCGCAAGAACGCTAAGCTCCTCGCTACGCCGGATATCGAGTCACCACTGCTGGAAGCTCCTCCAGTGGACATAAAGCCAAACGATGAGGACTCTGATGAGCGCACAATTCGAAACCGCCGAACCATACAATCACGGATCCTTGCCAAATTCCCCTTCTTGTTGGAAATATGGTATTGGCTACTCACATATTGGGTGAGACACATCTTGATGCCCAAGGCACACTTCCTGTAGTACCACGCATTGCTGACTGTGTGCATAGATCTATCAAGGTTTACGGGCGTTTTCCGCTAGGATGATCAGTGGCCATGAAGCTATTTTCGACACCGCTGAGCGCCATGCCCTTTCCATCCTCTCGTTCGAGCACTTACTTCACCTCGATGTCGAGCTATCCGTACAAACGTATGTGCTTGAGCAGAAGCCATGGCTCATGGGGTTCCTGGCTCGAGTATACTATTCACATATTGTCCTCGGTGTGATATTCATCGTCTACTGCTATACCTGCATCCAACGAGACAAGTATCAAGCAATCAGGCGTACACTGGCGTTCGAGAACGTCATTGCCTTCACCATCCTTACCTTGTGGAGGTGCATGCCACCTCGCCTGCTGCCAGAGGAGTACGGCTTCATCGACGTTCTGCACAGCAATGCAGGCGGCTCAGCCTGGACGCAGAACAAATTCCAGCTCACAATTGCAGCGATGCCCTCGCTCCACTTTGGAAACTCGATGTTCATTGCACTCTGCCTGCTGAAGTTCAGTCCGCATTGGTACCTTCGAGCTGTGGCACCCATCTGGCCCATGCTCATGGGACTTACTATCGTTGCGACAGCCAATCATTTCATCCTAGATGCTGTCGTCGGTGCATGTGTAACGCTCACGGCATTTAGATTTAACGCCGTCATGTTATATCTTCTTCCTGTGGAAAGAGCACTCTTCAGGTTGTTGCGTATAGAGAAACCCTAGGCCGCCAGAGGTGCCTAGCCTGCCGGTATACAGTCTTGGGAACTAGGAGTTAGAATATCTATATCATTATTCCTACTTGAGTCAATATTCTTTGGTGGAGAGTACATAGTCATCGTTAATCAACCTACACTTGGATCGCGTATGTACACAGGCATAGTGTCTGTTTTGTCAACCGTATCGTACAGGCAAACTCAGTTTAAACCTTTCAAGCTGCCCGAGAATAGATAACACCAGCGAGTCAGCTCCCTCATGCAGCCTTTTTGATCTATTGCTCAGAGGTGAGCAAATGAGTCAAACTAGCTACACCAGTTCCCGTCTATCTGAGAAGAAACGAAGTCAACAAATGCTACATGTTTACTAGAAGTAAAAACGATCATGTATACTGGTGAAGAAGCAGAGGATATGGGGACTATGGAGTAGAGAAGTGATAAGTATTTTTACTTTTTTGTTTGTATGCCTTCGATAAGTGAGACAACCATTATGGGAATATGGGCTTTAATTCTTTCTTTTTCTTATTTTCTTGATGTTCTCAGCCCCCCTCCTTGAGATTGATACTGTGGTGCACGAGTGTATCCAGCAGGTGTGGACGATTGTGAAAATCATTGATAGAAGTAGTAATTAAACAGGCGTTGAGTAAAATCCATATATCCCTCTCTCTGAAGGTCTGTGAACAGCCAGGACGTCGTAGTGTAGATGATATGTAAAGCATTGATACTTAGCCTTTCGTTGGGAAAGCGAGAGCATATATTATGCATGTTACTACGGATAGTAATCGCACTATGCTGCGTATTGAATATGTTTGTTTTTGTTTGTAGGTGCTAGTCACTTTTAGCACTATGAACGGTAAGTTAGAGAAACAAACAACTTATGATAGTAGAACATGTCGTGACTAAAATAGGGCTCGGTGTGTATTGGATATAGCAGGGAGTTTTAGGACTACTTGAGGTAGTTGCATTTACTTGCTGAGTGGATGTTGACTGACATGATACTACTATGTAAGACTACATATTTCTCGGTGAAAGGGCTGCCTGACTACTCCGTACTCATTCCAATCTTGGCGGAGATCCCTCCTGATCGCGTGAGAGAACAGCTATTCGGAGAAGAAGTGCAGGTCGGAGCAAGGCCGAGGTCGAGACCTGGTAATGCCAGGTGGAGTGGCGCCGTGTCTTCTCTCGGAGAAATTATGGTCCCGTGTCTTTTACCCTTTCCCCCCTGGTGCCTTAGGCTAGAGGCCCTGCTTAGGTGTTCTTCTTCCGGGGAATTTCGGTACAACCTTCCTCTCCGGGTTTTGTCTACGATTGTCACTTGTTCATTTCTTTGTGGCTTTGAAGGCGCGCACAAACCTGCGGCTCCCCGTATATACATACGCTTTGACGACCTGCTGAGCCACAGTGGAATCAAGCCTCCCCGGGTTCTCCAGGTCCGAGGCTCGTTTAGTTGGGGGATAGACACGCCCATGAATATGGGGAAGGTCTAATCCTTAGGTAAGATGAATAGACTATCAACTCCTAGTCTATCTAGTTCCTCCTGCTTGTCCCGGAGTCCCCACCGAGCCGGAGACGCACCTCGTGGAAGCAGCTCATCTCATTCGCGGGTAAGCCAAATGAATCGGCCCGAGACGGGGAGAAAAGACTCCAATTCTTGTGTGTCAGACGGCGATGTCATGTGAAGCGCGGAAGCGCCTTGCATTATTACACAGTATCACTCGTCGATGTGCGGATGCTGTTCACCTGGAAACCCAAATCCGGTCTGACCCTCAGCTGTACGTTGATGGTGGTTCTCCGAGATCGGGTCGCATGCCGCGTCTTGGTGGCAGATGAACCCCGATAGAGGGGTCGCATACCCCAAGTTGCTATGGGCTCGCTACTCTCGCTGAAGAATTGGGATGCATCTTGACCACCCTACTCCGTTAGAAAACGGAATCGCTACTCTTGGGAGGGAAGTTGGAAAGTGCTTCAGATCCTGGTTGTCTGGCTTAAGGGGGACCCAGTGGTTGGTTATCATATTTATCGAAGGTGGCCAAAGTTCCGGAGTTACCGTGGCACGCCGAGAGAAGTTGGTCGTCCATGGCGAAATCCGTGATCCGTGAAGGGGCGTGGATCGAGGGTGTGTCCCTTGGGTCAGCGTGGCTTTCCATTGTTTCGGGAGAACTAGCTTTCGGACAGGAGAAATTTCTTAAAAAAAGTTTGATTCATATGAAAATGGTCTCTCATAATAGATATGTTGTTCCATTTGGCAATCTCACAGCATCAAGACGTGTATATGAAATGCCTTGTGAGGGGAGTGAGGGTCTTGCGTGCGGAGTTAAATAAGCCAGGAAGCCGCACTTGACCAGGGTTCGGGGCCAAGTCCGATGCATAAGGCCATAAGCATAAGAAAAGGCCTCACCGGAGCGGTTAATTAGATAACAACATGCATGCCAGCCAGGGGCGGTGAGATCGCCCGATGTTGCTGGTTGATTCGCCCTCTCAGCCCCAAGGTCATCAGGCAAATTGAAAAAAATAAAAATAAAAAGTCACTTTTTATCCGTTTGTCCAGGTGAGGCTTGTGCTGATGAATGGGAAAAAAAAAAAAGGGTAACATAAATTGACCAAAAAAAGCAAAACGAAAAAATTAGTTAAAACCGCAAATAGTCAATTAAAATCCTGTAAAAGTCAGGTTCTTGCCTTCTTTACTTACTGCTGGGCCCCATAATTTTTCTGCGCAGCTCACAGCTGTCAGTGTATGATTCACTCTGCCCACCCCCGGGAATTAAAATATTATTATTGATCGATCGATTATCGCTCAGGCGCAAAGCACTTTCGCTCCCCCGTTATTTTTGTCTTAATCCCCCTTCTCCACTCCCTCCTCTTATCCCCAACCCCTTCTTAATCCCACTCCTCCCCTCGCTTGCCTAATTTGCGTGGTTTCCTTTGCGTTCTTTTGTCGCTCCGTTGGGTTTCTTTTGGAATTGCATCTGTCATCTTTGGCGTTTGTTCATAGATTGCTGTATTTTACACCATGGCTAGTGTGAAGGACGCAGTCAAGGAGTCCTTGGTGGGCACCTCCCAGGTGCCCCAGCCATCGCAGCAGATTAAAAGCAATTTCCTGCGCCATGCACGCAAAGACGAGGAGACGGGAGAGCTCTACATGAGCCAGGAGGACTTCGTCAATGCCATCGCTCCCAAATATGAAGACTACGTGAGTCATCCTGATCCTTGCCGCTCATCCCCCAGATTGTGCTGTATGTGTCATACGATTCGCAAGGGTTCCTGCTTGGCTAATGCATGTCGGTACTTGCCTCACAATAGCACAAAATCAAACGCGAACACTATGGCGTTCTGTTCATGGTCGCCGACAGGCGCAGATCCGGCAAAGTCAGCCTTGCCGACTGGACGACTTTCGAGAACCTCCTGGACAAACCCGACGCGGAATACGAGATCGCTTTTAGATTGTTCGACACGGAAGGAACGGGCACCGTGAAATGGGACACCTTCAAGGAAGTGTGCAACCTGAGCAAGAGCAGCGACAGCATCCCGTTCGATTGGAACTCAGAATGGGCTTCCCTTTACACTGGAAAGACAAAGCGCCGACACGACATGACGTACCCTCAATTCTCCCAGATGCTTCGCGGTCTGCAGGGAGAACGCATTAGGCAAGCTTTCCACGCTTTTGACAAGGACGGTGATGGCTACATCGAGCCCGAAGACTTCCAGCGCATCATCCTCGAAACCTCGAAGCACAAGCTGTCCGACTATGTCTTGGAAAACCTCCCCAGTCTGTGCAACATCTCCGCCGGTACCAAGATCTCCTATGCCACCGTCCGTGCCTTCCAGAACATTATGCGTGAGATGGATATCATTGATGTTATTGTGCGTGAGGCGGCCCAGCACAGCGACGATGGCAAGATCACGCGCGCGGATTTCTTGAATGCTGCCGCTCGTGTTACCCGGTTCTCTCTTTTCACCCCCATGGAGGCCGACATCCTCTTCCACTTCGCTGGATTGGATGCTCCCTCTGGAAGACTTTCGCAGAAGGATTTCGCCAAGGTCATTGACGCATCGTGGCGTATGCCCCTCGCAGTTGCTGGACAAGCTGCGTCGGATAAGGCGCACCAGGTTGCCGAGAAGTCCAAGTCGGTGCTGTACAGCGTGTTGGAGTCCGTCCACCATTTCGCCCTGGGCAGTCTTGCAGGTGCTTTCGGAGCCTTCATGGTGTACCCCATTGATCTTGTGAAGACCCGTATGCAGAACCAGCGCTCAACTCGCGTCGGAGAGAGACTTTACAACAACTCGCTGGATTGCTTCAGGAAAGTGATCCGTAACGAGGGTTTTACCGGCTTGTACTCTGGTGTCGTCCCTCAATTGATCGGTGTCGCCCCCGAGAAGGCTATTAAGCTCACTGTGAACGACCTTGTGCGTGGGCACTTCACCAACAAGGAGAACGGAAAGATCTGGACTGGTCACGAGATCCTGGCCGGTGGTACTGCCGGAGCTTGTCAAGTTGTAAGTTATCCTGACAGCGATTCTAATTCATTGAAAAGGCTCAATACGCTAACTGCAACCCCGTTTTAGATCTTCACCAACCCTCTGGAGATTGTCAAGATTCGTCTCCAAGTCCAGGGTGAGATCGCAAAGTCTGTTGAGGGTGCTCCTCGCCGCTCTGCCCTCTGGATCGTCAAGAACCTGGGTTTGATGGGTCTGTACAAGGGAGCAAGTGCCTGTCTGCTCCGTGATGGTAAGTGATTCGCGCCCCGTTGTTTGGTTGCTAGAACCCTTCTAATTGTTTACCTGCCAGTCCCGTTCTCCGCCATCTACTTCCCTACTTATGCGCACCTGAAGTCCGACTTCTTCGGCGAGTCGCCCACTCACAAGCTCGGCGTCGTGCAATTGCTCACCGCAGGTGCTATTGCTGGTATGCCCGCAGCCTATCTTACTACCCCGTGTGACGTGATCAAGACCCGTCTGCAGGTCGAAGCCCGCAAGGGTGAGATCGGGTACACCGGACTGCGTCACTGTGCGGCCACTGTTTGGAGGGATGAAGGATTCAAGGCTTTCTTCAAGGGAGGCCCGGCTCGTATCATTCGTTCATCCCCACAGTTCGGTTTCACACTTGCCGCCTATGAGATCCTGCAGAAGATGCTTCCTATGCCCGGGTCTGAACCGGAAGTTACCCCGGCGGGACAAATCGAACCTGGCGTCGGCCTGCAGACTGCCAAGGCTCCTCTGCCATACCTCAGATCCAGGAACGCCCTCAAGCTGATCCTGGATTTGGATCAAAACATTGGCCGCGTTCCGATCCCCTCGGCGGACCGTTGGCCTAAGTTCCTTCAGCAGTCCAAGCAATAGATAAGCATCTTCATGTTTTCATAGCGACGAATTGGTTTCTCTTTCCTTTTGTTCCTTTTGTTTAAATGGAAATATCTTTTCATGTCATACTACCCAACTCGTTTTCCTTGGTTCTTAGATTTCTGGCTTGGAGCAAAAACTTTCCTGTGACTTCCGTTTCTATGTACTACACAGACGCTATTTGCATTTGCACATGTACCAAAAGCAGTTAGAAGTTTCAGGATGGACAGTTGCGATCCGTTTCATTTCAGGTCCGAATCAAGCTGTTCCGGGGCCACCCTGGTTTGATATATATTCTTGCAGATATTGTCTCAGATATCCAAGGTCGGGGACGTCATTACATGCTGCTGTACCAGCACTGTTGATCTAATCTAAATGTCGTTAGCACATGGTTCATTCAATATCTGGTCATTGAAACTCTAGACCTCCCCCAGAGTTTCTACATCGTTCCCAAGTCATTCCTATTAATTCATTTTGCGAATTGTTGGTCAAGAGTGTAATAGTGTCCTTTCATCTCATTTATAGGAGTTTATAATACAGATATATGACCTGTCCAAGATGCCTCCCACAAAAAGTACATGATTTGGGATACATCTGAAAGCTATGTGGGTATCAATTGAAGAGTAGGAGAGGGAAAAAAGTATTTATGCAAAGTAAAATCAGATGATGGCCACGCTCAAGCAAACGAGGACTATGCATGGCCTGTCAGATATCGTCATCTCCTCTTCGCTACTTCCGGATTGGGGAATGATTGAGAACCATATCCCGAGCAGTTTCTGCACCCCCGACAGCAACCACCTATGGAACTTTGTCCGGCGTATAAGCACGGTTCGTTCTCATCATTCGAGAAACGCATCTCGATAGTAGCCTCGGGTGTAAGTCCGTGCGGCGATGCTGACCATCAATAGACGCACGCTTGTTTAAAAGAAGTTGAGCTTCTTCTTTGACGGGCTATCCGCAGGTAAACCTTTATCCTGAGGTCCCTCTGCAGGTACAGCAGGATCTTTAATGATTGACTTCATAATCGATTGTTTTGGCTCCTCGACCTGCTCTTGCTGAGCTTCCGACGCGGCCGCCTTGCGATGCCACAATGAATCTTCTGCTTCGATCTCGCGTAGTACTATATCAGAGAAGAGCCCTGAGTTAGTAAAAGCAGGGTTCCAAGTATGGTAGAACGGTAAATCAAGAGCACGCAAGCACTGACCTTCCTCCCATTCTCGTTCCTTCGCCTCATCTCCAGTGCCCAACAGTTTCTCCACATCAACCTTCTCCCCATTATTCACCCTCTCTATGACCTCCCGAAGAAGCCTAATCTTCGCATCTGTTGACCGTGTGTACGCCGCATAGTCGTTCTTCAATGCGATCATCCGGATGGCCTGGGATCCGATCAAGATGAAGATGATGATGTAGAAGCTTGCGGGGTTCCATTCTTTGGATTTCGGCTTATACGGCTTGGTTTCTTTAGCGCCGCGGTTCCGGATGAACTTGGGAATCATCGATGTCCATAGTGACGTTTGAGCGAATCTGGGTATCGCTTTGGAAGAAGTGGACTGTAGACGACACTGTAATTGATTTGTTGGAATGTGGAAAGCGCCGGCAGGTCGGAGGGCTGGGGCCGCTTGGGCCAGATGCCGGAGGGAAAGTCGGGCTGAGTTCATAATGAAGAGGTCCGTCCTGGGGACTGTGTCGAATTGCGACGTCGAGATGCTCCCAAAGCTGCTCACTGGAGTGTCTGTACACTTGATGTGGCACACAATTATCTGCCGCAGAGTTCGGCCTGAGGCAGTCGGAGATTCGGGGCCAGATTGCACTAGTCGAGTTTGGGCTTAGGCTTTGAGTGGTTGCTGCGACAACGCGCGCCTTTGCTTGGCTCCCGCCCGGCTGTCATGATCACATCGAAGGCATGGCTCGAACGAACCCCCACGACCTTCAATTGTCAGTGACTGCAGCACTGTCTACATTCAAACTCCGCCAACCATGACGGTCTCGACGCTACTCCCCGGTTCTCCTGTAGAATCGGTGAAGCAGGCCGTCCGCTCAACCTCCACATGCTCTAATGGCACCGTCTCATCCCTCCAAACATTACTCCGCGGTTCGTCGAAAGCGTCCCCAGATATCGAAAGTGCGACAGTGAAGCGGGTAGGCCGGACGACAAAAGCAACGTCCACTACAAGTCGAACAAAAACAACCAGAGGATCGCGGACGACGGTCTCTGCGGCCGAAGCGGCTTTGAGCACAGTGGTCGATCAGGATGCGGCGCGTCTATCGAACCAGGAGAAGCTTGTTCTCGCTACAGAGGTCTTTAACTCGACGTTAAAAACACTTTCAGAAGCAGTGAAGCTACAATCGACGAAACGCGATGATACTCGATCCTCCGCGACTAGTACCTCTCGCGAATCACCCTCTCCCACCCGTGTCGCGAAATCCCCCAGAAAGTCGAAAACCTCCCTACAGAGTGCAACAACAAAAACAGATAATGGAATACTAGCAGTGGCTGAGTGCGCGGCTATGTCGCTGTCATGCTTAAGGACATTGAAGACCGATCAGGAGAAAGGGACACCCAACGTACAACTCGAACAAGGTGCATGCATTCTAGCAGGGAGGTTTCTCTCATTAGGCCTGGGTGACTTGGCGTACAAAGAGCTCAGAGCACTGAAGAGAAGGATACAACAATACCTCGATAGCAAAGCCAGTGGTGGAAGTAAAGGCTCAAGCCGGAAAGGGAGCCCGGTAGAACAGGAAGGCGAAACAACCAAGGAACGGATGTCTGATCTTCTAACATTTTCTAACATCAGCCATGCGGGCGCTCTGTATGGTCTCATCGTGTCATACCAGTCGAATGCGCTCCGTCTCATCTCTTCCGAAAAGAAGGCCGCTACTGTTCAGAACGCGACTCCATCCTTGCAATTATCGGACCCGAGTAGTCCGGCAAATGTGACTGTGGCTGCATTAGAAGCAGGAGCTCTTACCAAGGACAAGGCCGCAATGCAGCTCCAACTTTTGTCTAATACAGTGCTATCCCTATCCTCTATCTCACAACAATCTTCAACGAACAAACTAAAGCCGACTACATCGTTAACTCTTCAACTCCTATCACTCGAGATTCGTTGCATGTCCTGGAAGACCTCGGGGCATCTATGTGATGATGCTAAGGAGATGTGGGATCCCTTGGCACGATACGTCGCTAGCTATGCTCATCAGAGCAAAGGCATTACGAAATCCGAATTCGCCTCCACCTACAAGACCATCGTTCGACTGCAATCGACTTTTACCGGTGTCCAAAAACGTTCCTCACCCAGCATGAACGATAACATCTCTGTGGCGAAAATTGCGACAATCCTGGGCCAGCTCGCTCAGGAAGCTGGATGCCTCGACGAAGCCTTACAATTGTACACGGAAACTCTGACCCCTCTCTCTGACGGACAATGTCTCTCTCTGGCTACCGTCCGCTGTAAGATTGCATCATTGCATGTTCAAGCTTTGAAGCAGGCTACGAAGTATTCTTCCGGACTGGCAAAGGCAATCAAGGAAGCTACCAATGTTCTATGTATGCCACTCAAAGGTAGCGCGAACGATCTTGACGAATTATTGGTTGAAGCAGCCAAACTGAAGAAACTAGCCATGGGTCTTTTTGGAGACATCGCTTCGAGGGAAAAAAGCCCCAAGAAAGACGATGACGATGTCTGTTATTGCATCTACGGATATTTGAACGGTTTCGTTAGGTTTCTGCGACGATATGTTGGGCGCAAACCTGCCGAAGACGAAGGAAAGGAAATCGAACCATTTCAAAAGCGTGTTGTTGCAGTTCGGAATATTGCACTTGCAGCTATCGATTCTGTCAACGCCATTGGAAAGCTATCTATCTTATCACAGAGACCGCCATGGGATGAAATGCAGTCAACATTGATAGATAGCCAACGCCTGCTGATGACGTTGGAGTCAGCGGGAGAAGCGTCCGATTCTATTGCCGAGAGCATCGGTATCTGCTTCGTGAAGCTGTCAAATCTCTTTTGGTCTCGGTACATCAAGGAAAGGGAATCTGGCAAAGGGGTTCGCGAACTTGTGCCTGTGCTGAAGCAGTCTGCGACGCTCCTGTCAAATTGCTCGCCGGCTCAGAAGGTTGCGGGATTCACGCCTCTCAAATACGAGAAGCTCGCGCATCTTTATCTAGAAGCTAATGCTGGCCGTGAGGCTGAGCAAGCCTTTCAGCAATCGATCGAGGAACATCTATTGACCGGCACGCTCGACCAAGTCCTTTCTATTACAGAAGGGTGCTTCCCCCATCGGATGTGCCAGGATCCCAAGAGCGGTGGTTTCATGCTTGGCCGTGTTCTCTATGCTTCTCTGAAGATGAACCTGAGAAGGAAGTCGACCAAAGAGAATGGCGTCTTCGACGATGACAATCTGACCCATCTCCAGCGTGGGCATCTTCTCGAATGGCAGTTAGGTATCTTGACGGACTTGGCCTCCGCTTCTACACTCGATAACTCGTTCCGGTCTACATTCGGTCTGCTCCTGACCAAGCTTTTCGAACTATACTCCCCAGAAGCCCATCCACTCCGGCGATTGCGGGTCGTGCTTACCACCTTGCGCTTTTCCCTTGAATACCCGGGCTCCCTGGATTCTGCTATACTACAGAATGTCATTGAGGCTGGTTCAAGCAATCTGGATATGGAAGAACTCGGTGACGATTCAGACCTCTCTCCTCTTGCAGGACACATCCAGAATTCCGTCCGGCTTACGCTAGGACTGCATGAAGGCACTCTTCAGCCAAAGGATTTGGAGAGTGTGCTAAGTTGGTGGAATCTGATGATGCGAGAGTGCAATGACTGGGAATCGGTAGTTCTGAGCGTTGGGGACGTCGACCACTTCTTGCTTCAAATGAAAGCTATCGTTGACTATACCGAGATTCATGGACTATGGAAGTTGCAGCTTTCGACGCTCGAACTTGTTTTGCGAGTGACGGAGCTTCGCGGATCTAGCGATTTCTCCGAAGCAATCATCGTTCTTTCACGACTGGCACTCCAGTACAGTCGCCTTGGATACTGTTCGAAGGCGGACGAACTGTTGAGCCGAGCGGATCAATATCTCAGCCAGCGCGACATCTCTTGCTTGGCAACGCTTTCACACAAGCTAGCTCGCGTGGGCTACCTTCTCGAAGTCGGTGAGATCCAGAAAGCAGCGAGTACACTTTCAGCAGCCCGAACTCTGTATGAGAAGAACCAAAGGAAGGAAGATCTCAACGCCTGCTCGGTATTGTCGAAGCTTATGTGGGAGAGATTGGTGGCCGACGCGGCATTCATGAACTCCCGACTCTCTTTCGCTCAGGGCTCAATCAATGATGCTCTGTTTTTCGGCAAACTGTCTGTTAGGCTGAATTGCAGAATTTGGGCTAAGATCGAAAAGCTTGCGCAGAGAAAACAAGACAAGATCGCACAATCAGCCGAAAACTCTGAGCTGGAAACTGTGGTTGAAGGAATGGCGAAACTCGAGGTCTCGCAAGCGAACGCAACCCTGGCCGTGTACTCACAAGGTGCCCCGTTTTGGCCTCATATTGGTTCACATCACATGGCTTTATTGAATCTTTCGAGCCTTTCCGCCCATCACGGCTTATTCCAGGACGCCATCTACTACGGAGAGCAAGCGCTGAAAATTAACAAGACACTCAACGCCAACGTCCGCCTGATCGCGTCACAAGCGCAGCTTGGCTCGCACTGGATCTACGGCGGGCATATGAAGGAAGGCCAGGAGCTTCTGGCAGCGGCTGAGTCATTGTCCAAGCAGCTCGACAACAGTATTGAGCTTGTTTCTTTGCAGATCGGCCTTGCTTCTCTCCATAGAGCACAGGGTCGTTACCGCGACGAACACCGTGCTCTCCTCGAAGCTGACAGGCTCATGGCTGAGTGTGGCGCTTCTGAGTCATTGGACGTTCTCTCGGGTGTAGCAGACCTTAATGATAAGATGAAAAAGCTACAGATCCAAGGCACTGCTAGGAACACGAGGCAACGGGCGGCGACTACGACCCGCAGAACTCGTGCAGCAACTACAAGCGCGCCCAAGACGTCAAGCGCCGGCTCCGAATCGACAGAGACAGATTCGACGTCACTTCTTCATTTGCGGAGCGACATTCTTCGGCAGCAGGCAGCATGCTTACGTTCGCTACGGGACTTTGAAAAGGCGTCCAGCTTGCTGGAGGATGCACGCAAGTTTGCAACTTCTAGGGACAGTCAGATCTCCCTGCACATTGGCGAAAGTGAGCATCTACTCGCCGACGCCATTCGGAACTTCGCCACTCACGCAGTGTACTGTGTGCTCCCTGAATCGACCATCTCCCTGCCATCGCTCCAGTCGCCAAGTAAGACGGCGAGCCAGACCAGCAGCAGTAAAACAACTACCACTCGCAGGACACGAGCGCCAGCAAAGACGGCTACGAGAGGCACACGCTCTAAGACGCCCAAGCCGACAGAGGACTTCTCCGTGATGCTCGCCAAAGCGAGCGAGAGTTTGAATACCATCTTTCCACTTGCCACGACCCTCGGATCAACCCTTGACAGCCATGCCGCCTCTCGCTTGATGAGCCGTATCTCCATGTTGACCCATGTCACGGCACTTGATAACCTCGTTTCGCTCTCTCAGTCACCAGCAAATGTGAACGAGGTTGGCCGCATTGGTGCGTTTACACGGGAGCATGCTGCCATCACCCTTGACAAACAACTGGCGGATTACTGCGACCCCCTGCTTTGGCCGACTGCTGAATCTGCAATGGTACCGGAAGAGGATCTCTGCTCCCGTTTTACCGAAGAATATGTTGATATTCTTCCGGAGAACTGGAACGTCCTTTCTTTGTCCTTGAGCACCGACCGTACTGAGTTTGTGGTTTCTCGGTTGCAAAAGGGTCGTTCGCCGTTTTTGTTGCGTTTGCCTCTCAAGCGTGGCAGTTCGGAGGATGAGGAGGAGCAATACACATTCGAGGATGGCAAGGGAGATATGCAAGAGCTGATTCGACTGGCCAACGAAAGTGCGCATGCAGCTAAGCACCAAACCGACCGGCAGATGAAGAAGGACTGGTGGAAGAACCGGGAAGCACTGGACCGTCGGATGGAAGCTCTTCTGCAACATATCGAGACTGTCTGGTTCGGTGGATTCCGCGGAATATTCTCCCCGGTCCCTCACGAGACTCGTTCGCTTGCACGATTTGCAGATGCATTCCATAACATCCTGGACAAGCATCTTCCCTCGCGCCGCAAGGGCGGTCGTGCAGCCAGTCCGCGGTTGACACTTCATCCGAATGTGCTTGAACTGTTCATCGGTGTCAAGGACCTGGATGACCAAGAAGATCCCGAAGAGACGTTAATGGACCTTCTCTACTTCGTTGTTGATATCTTGCAATTTCAGGGTGAGCGCAACGCATATGATGAGATTGACTTTGACATGATGGTTGTGGAAACCCTTGACTCTCTGAGGGCGTATCACGAGCAAGTCCGGAAAGAGCAGGGTAACCCTTCACCCAACCGGACTGTTCTGGTGTTGGACAAGTCCTTGCATATGTTCCCGTGGGAGTCCCTTCCGTGTCTCCAGGGATTCCCGGTATGCCGGGTGCCCTCCTTGGAATGTCTTCGCGACCGAATCGTGCGATTCCGCGACGAAGGTGCGGAAAGCAACGCTGGCTTTACGATCAACCGCAAGAATGGCACGTATTTCCTCAACCCCACCGGTGATCTGCAAACCACGCAGGGAACCTTCGAGAAGGACTTATTGAAGTTGGAAGGGTGGAGCGGAGTGGCCAACCGGGAGCCTACAGAGGAAGAGTTCAAGAACGGATTAGAGTCGAACGACGTGTTCCTTTATTTCGGCCACGGCAGTGGCGCACAGTACTGCCGGGCGCGGACGATCAAGCGTCTTGACCGATGCGCAATCACATTCCTGATGGGTTGCAGCAGTGGTGCTCTCACGGAAGCCGGCGAGTACGAGCCGTACGGCACGCCGATGAACTACTTGCATGCGGGGAGCCCGGCCTTGGTGGCCACTCTGTGGGATGTGACGGATAAGGACATTGACCGGTTTGCCAAGAGCACGCTGGAAAAATGGGGCCTTGTCGGGGGACGTGAGCAGGCAGTAGCTTTGGATGATGCGGTTTGCCAGTCGCGGCAGGCCTGTGTGTTGAGGTACTTGAACGGAGCGGCGCCGGTGATCTACGGCATTCCCGCGATGTTTTTGGCGTAATGATTGGAGATGGATAAGCATTGGCGTTCTTTACATTTTGGGAAGGGAATATGATACCTATGGCATAGCATGGCAAGGTAGTTAGTTTAATTCTACATTTCATACATATCTATTCAATCATCTAGATTGTCTCGATGATAAATCCGGGATAGCGTAGATAACTTCAAACGGCAAAAATTTCCGGGAATTCGAGGATCCACCGCCCCTCATTTTCCCCTCATCCGATATTTCCCCTCATCATTGTTGATATAATAAACCATCCACCCTTTCTTTCTCTCCCTTCCTATCTCCATCTCTACCCCATCCACAACACCCAGAGGTATACACATACATACAACCATGTCCGTCACAACAAAAGCCACCATCGCCTCCTTCGGCGGCAAGCTCCTGAAGCTCACCCACGCCGCCACCTCCACCAAATGTGAAATGGGCTTCAACCTCTACCTACCCCCTCAAGCCTACCAGAACCCCTCCGCCAAGGTCCCCGTTCTCATCTACCTCTCGGGTCTGACCTGCACCGCCGAGAACTGCTCCGAGAAGGGCTTCTTCCAGCACGGTGCCAGTAAGAAGGGTATTGCTGTGTTGTATCCTGATACGAGTCCTCGTACGTCCCCCCGCTACCTTTTCCCCTCTCTGCTTATCTCAAGAACTCTATCACATCTATCCTCATGAAATATGGTAATTGGAGTATGCTAATACATTGGATGTGGGGGGATATAGGCGGCCTCAACATCCCCGGCGAAGCCGACAGCTACGACTTCGGCACGGGCGCCGGCTTCTACGTCGACGCGACCAAGCCGCCCTACGACAACGGATATAACATGTACACGTACATCACGGAGGAATTGCCCGCGACGGTGTTTGCCGCCTTTCCGCAGTTGGATAGTGAGCGGGTGAGTATTACGGGTCATAGTATGGGTGGACATGGTGCTTTAACTTTGGTACGTATACCTCTCATCTAGTATTTGTCTATGATGTTGGGATTTTTCTCAAAGTTAATAATTGGGATAGTTCCTCCGCAACCCCGGCAAATACAAGTCCGTGTCTGCGTTCGCGCCCATCACCAACCCGATTAACTGCCCGTGGGGACAAAAGGCCTTTTCGGGATACTTTGGGGAAGATCGGCAGGAGAAGTGGAAGGAGCATGATGCTACGGAATTGTTGAAGAAGTGGAAGGGTGGCAGGTTGGAAGTTTTGATTGATGTTGTATGTATTCCCTTTTCCCTTTCCCCTTCTGTTTTACCCTTGTAGGCTGTACTGATAATGATTGTGATTGTGTGTACAGGGCACCGGAGACAACTTCTACAAGCAGGGCCAACTTCTTCCCGAGAACTTTGAGAAAGCTGCCAAGGAGGCTGGTGTGGAGGGCGTGACGATTCGGTACCAGCCTGATTACGATCACAGTTATTATACTATGGCGACGTTCTCGGATGATCATGTGGAACATGCGGCGAAGTTTTTGTTTGCTTAGTGGGTTTTTTTCCTCTCTCTCTCTCTTCTCTTATTTTTAATTTCTGTTTGTGACTAGACTGGAGTGTCTATTATTTTTGTAAAAAAAAGAATATTATGCAAAAATTCATGTGACTGTTCTGATAGTGTGAAGCGATCGTCAGGCTAGAGCGTCGTTATAGATTTAGTTATTGGAGGGATGGATATAGATAGGAATATAATGATGTGATGATGGTGTATATAACATGGTTTCAGGGAACACATTCTCATAAAAATAATCAAGCTATTACAAAATCACCGCAACCGACTTATCAACCCCATGCATAGACTCGGGAAACTTGCAGTCTGCACTACAATGTCCCTGTTGATTCTCCCACGGACACTGATGTCCACAGATACACTTGGGATCCGTGCACCAGATGTCATTCGGGCAGACGCACGTTCGCGTAACGCACCAGAGGTCATGAACATCCCTGGATCCGAGTCGGCGTCCGTGTCTGTGCCCGCACTCATCGCCAAGGGGACACTCTCCCAGGATATGATATCTACTGCAGTACTTCGATCTTCGTAATCTTTCGAAGTTCTCTCTGCTGCTGGCCCGAGGTGGCGGGTCAACCCGTTGGCTCTGGCTGTTAAGCTGGACTGTGTTGAATTGGATATGGGTGTCGTATGAGGGGGAGATATCGAATGTTATGACTGAGATTTTGGATCTCTTAGATCCGTTTGTTCTGGTGGGGGATGTCGCTTGGAGGTTCGACTTGGCAATCGTGGCGTAGTTGCCTTTTGGCGTTGATGGCGTGCTGAGGTTAGTTGGAGAGCTGCTGGGTGACGAGTTGGCGGATGCGGTTTTGAATGCGCTGAAGGATGACGCTCGCGAGGGTAGCTTCGTGGATCGGAAGACCTCGGGGAAGGAGGTGGTTTGGAACTCGCTTGCTAGCTGCTCCATTTCCCATGCGAAGGGTGCTCCCTGGACGAGGGAGATGCGGTTGGATCCTTGGTGGGAACCGAGGATGCGTGCGTAGCCATTGTCAGTCGAGCCACAGAAGATGATGCGACGGCAGTGGACGTCTAGGATGTCTTGTTCGAATGTTGCTATGACGGTGGTCAGTACATGCCAGAATTTGGTGAAGAGGGCAACATACCCCGTATCTTGACATCAGAGCATTCCTTGCCATTTCCTGCATCGATGAAATCGCACAGGCTATTCTCCATATTGAATCCCCGAATGAATGGATCCAGCGCTTCATTGGAACGCAAGATGTGCGCTTCCCGGTACGTTTTCATCAAGCCCGGAACGTTGGCGTACACCCGAATACGGTACTGGATGTTTGGGCTGGCCTGTGGATCGATATCACGAATGTGACGCTCGACGGACTTTCGGAGAAGCATGGCAGCTTTGCGTCCGCCATTGTAGCCTTGTCGAATGAGAGCATCGTTGAACTGAGTTGTCAGTAAAGGACGAGACAATAGACGGACGCTTACTTACATTCATACAGTCACCGTCGACAAGCACAGAAACAAAACTTAACTTGGACTGCGAATCTGTATAAGCCTATAGAAGCGAGACACTAAATTGGGAAGAAATACCTGGTCAAGCCGTAAGTCATCATACTCTGTTTTGTACTTCTTAAATTCCTGGAACTTGGCATCACCAAGTGTGTTTTGAAGAGCCCTCTGTAGACTTTCGACCTGGGCAAAGAGATTCTGTTGAAAAGGTTAATATGTTGATAATGCGTTATGCTGTGAAGTAGAGTACCTGAAGAATTTTGTCTCTGCTATCTTCAACTGCCAGCACGGCTTCGTAGCGTCTTTTCACTTCCAGGAGGTCGATCATTATGACGACTTATGAGCTCGATGTATATACCAAAGTATGTTCACCAGAATGGAAACAGTTCTTGAAGTATAGAACTGCACAGACAGAGAAGAAGGTCCGGATCACGTCGATGGCTGGATATTTATATTGTATGGGCCTATCAATGAAGCACCTAGTTTCGAGGCCATGATTTTCGGGAGACACCACGAATGTCGCGACTTCGAACCACCCCATGAAACATTGTTAGCCAATAAGTCCTGCGTGTTTATCTGAATTCCAACGGATCAGCTGTGCCGAGATTCCAGCGTGTCGTGCTGGAAAAGTGCAGCGGTTAGTATACGCCATGGGTTGGACTTGGCCGACCCGACAGACGCCCAGTGTGATGAGCAATGACACTGCATGGAAGCTGCGCTAGAGAAGATAGCGTGAGAGGAGATGTGATATCGGGTGGTTGCCGCCATGGAGAGGGGAAGAGGGGAGAGACGCCAAAGAGACGAGGCACGCACATCTGGCGCTAGATTGACGGGTTGGCATTGGCCGGCCCCAGGCACCCCATCCGCCATCACAGCGAGGACCCAGACATCTTCCGCCCGCTTGGAACCGCTTGCGTTTGTGATGTTGGAATATTTACTGGCAACGGGAGATGTTGCGCTTTAGTCCAAAATCATAAGGTCTTGCTTCATTCTGTTGGTTTGGCGCGCAACATTGTCCGGAGTGTCAAAGGACATGGCTCTATTCCTTCCAGTCAATGTTTCCAACAACAGATCTCATGATCGACAAGATTTTAGAGTTATCTTCTGCCGTGTCCTAGGACACATCTAAGGCCGAACATTGTTCTAAAGATAGAAATGTGTTGGTGGTTGGGATAGATGATGAAGACCATAGCGGAAGCTTGAAAGTGTCACGAGAGATAGTACATGAATAGTGGTAATAACAACTCCGACGAGTGATAAGCATGAGTTATACTAGTATTATACATTGCCCTACTCTCACTATGAATGCGTACGCAGCATGCGTGCTTATATAATCTCCCCTGACCGGCAACAGCACCTCTTTCCTCCCTTCAGTATGAATGCTGGGAATGGATTCTGGAGAATGGCTATTCAATTCGAAATTCGGCAGTAAAAGCTTACCAACTGCCATACAAAGCAGGACATCCCGCTCATGAAAGGAACCTTCCCGTGCGCGACCATTATACGTATGATTTCTTCTCACAGGCACATTCCGAAGAAGCTACACGTGGGATATTCGGATGGTTATGATCGACAGGGTACCCTGGCAGCGAAAGGCCTATATACGAGCATGCCTGGATCGATATAGAAGGCACTGATGATGAGGGAGCTACAGAGGTTGAGGACGGACGGGGAGATGCATCATGATCTGAAGAAAATGTATGTAGAATGCTGGCTCAAGGGCATAGCGCCTTGGAATCGAAACTTAGGATAGGAAAGGATAGTCGATGTACCCTTTTGGGGTACCGGGAGTATAGGCCAGGTCGCCATTGAAAGGGTTTGGTGCGATACCCTTTTTAATGCAAGCCACAAGATCAGGCGTTGAAGCGAACGACCGACCGAATCCAACGGCGAGCTTGAAGTCCTTATACTCCTCAACAGCGCGCTTTGCAGACTCGCCATCATACCCCCAAGTGATGATGACAGGTATGTCTGTTCGCCAGCTATCAAAGACAAAATCCAGAGGCTTTACGCGGTCCACATCGTACCAATTGTCCACACGAGACGTAATGACGTGTAGGTAAGCCAGGTCCAACTTCCGCAACTCAGTAACCAGATGAGTGAACTGAGACTCCGGATTCCGAGGCTCGATAGAGTGGTATGTGCTCCGAGGACTGATGCGGAAGCCAACACGATCACCACCAACAGCATCAACAACCGCGGCAGTGACTTCGAGTGCAAAGCGCGAGCGATTCTCAACCGAGCCACCCCATTTATCCGTCCTATTATTGCAAGATTTTTGGATGAACTGATCGATGAGGTAGCCATTAGCACCGTGAAGCTCCACGCCATCGAAGCCGGCGGCTATGGCATTGCGGGCAGCAGTGGCGTGGTCGCGTATGGCGTCATGAATTTCCTGCTCGCTCATCGGCTCCGGTGGTCTGTCATCATCTTCAGTCTCTATGGCACTGGCTTCAGCCTCGAGGGGGATATTGCCAGATGAGAGCTTGGGAAATCCCCTGTCTGCCGTGCGACCTGCACAGCAAAGCTGCAGAAAGATATAGCAACCCTTGCTGTGAACTTCTTCAGTGATGGCTTGCCATTTCTGCAGCTGGCTTTTGCTCCAACATCCTGCCCATTGGGGAAGTCCCACGAGCTTCTCCGATACGGCTGTGCCTTTGGTGATTATTAACGTGCCTGGTGTGTGTGATCGCTGGCTGTAGTATTCCTTGGCGATTGGCAGAGGTCCGTGGTCTGAGTCCGTGCGAAATCGTGTCATGGGTGCCATGACAATGCGGTGTTGAAGCTGACATTGTCCAATGTTGAGAGGACTGAATAGTGGAGAGGTCGTCATATTGCTGTGCTGGCGCCCGATTTTAAGAGTATGAAAAGCGTAGATTTGATTAAGGATGAGACGATATATGGTTGTTATCGAAGAGCAGAATAAGTAACTTGATCAAGATTGGAGCCCGCCCAAAGGAGTTCCGAAGCTTTCCCAAGACGTTGTCGTATATTTATTACTCAGTAAGGAGGCTTGAAGGATTATCACATAGCTCAAGAATGGATGAATCTAGCTCATTTTTATATCTCGATTATTATATGACGGCATGGACAACAATTAACCTTACAAGGCATCTATCTATATGTATTTGTCAGGTTGAGTTGAACCTACTCCAACTTCGCCGCTGAAATCATTCGGAAAAGCGACCCAGATTTTGGAGAAGTCTACCCCAACCTGCGTCAACCACTCTCGGCTTTTCGTCTCGCAACTCAAAATTTTCAACTGATACTGCATTAGATATGACGATCAACTTCAGTGTAGTTCTGTAGTTCCAGTATTGGGTATGGGTCATTTGATGGGTGTAGATGCGAGAATCTATGTATTGAAATCATATTATCTTCAGGAGCAAAGTGGAAGGCTACAAGGCGGAGATTCTATATAGTTATGTTCTAGATATAACGCATTTGGGGTTAAGAATGTAAGGCACCAAGAAAGGTACCAAGAAGAAGAAGACCAAGTTATTTGTCATTAACCCTAATACAAAACCTCAAAATAATTGGTAGCGGATGTGGGTGATCTTATCATCTCAGTCACAACCATGCCGGTCAAGTCGACACAGCACTTGTCGGGTATTGAGTTAATATATAGTTCATGTAAGGTTAGTAATTTGATAGAGCCGCAAATAGAACTGAAAGCGAGCAACAGATTAGACCAGAAAGATCCATCCTAGATATGGAAAAAAAAATTAGTTCCCTATCCAGCGTAACATCTAGACAAGCTGCAATGCCATCATCAGGATTTGATGAGAGCCTGGCTTAATCATGGTTGATTAAGGTCACATTAGCGTTAATTGAAGAAACATATTAGCTGCACCCCATAAAACTAGCAGATATCACTAGGGGCACAAGTAGAACCTAAACTCATGTTGGAGGAATTCATCCTACAACAGGTTTTGACAAGGTCCACACTAAGAGATTTAGTAATGCTCTAACCCGGGATTACAACAAGGCACTTGTTGACAAGGATTACAGATTAGTCCTGGGTATCTCCAAAATCTCCATGAAGCTCTATCGATCAGATGTTGTGAAACGTTGTTGGCAGGGGATCAAAGGACATGTTCCTTAACCAAAGCCAGGTAATTACCCCAACTCATGATAGTTACTCCAACTGCTTTCTCTAATAATGTGGTTGATGTCTGTGCAAACGCCAACATCGTTACTCCAACTATTTGATGTATGCCAAGGAGTATAATGGATATGAGTTTACTAATTGTTAACATCTATTGATCGTTCTAATTTTCTTTTCGCAGTGTTTAGGATACGAAACACTCATATGCAACTTTGAATTTATGCTCAAAATTCCCCAGCCTGTATCTGGTGTATTTACATTGATAATTAATTCCTGGGTCTTATGGGAACTTCAGAATAAACAAGGAAAGATTTTGAAGGGTTGAACACTTCTTTCCAGTTTCTATATTGAAAGATAGGGATGCATATAATAGAACACGCGAGCGTTGACTCTGGGAGTGCCACACTAGATACTTCAACATACCTTGGAACATTGTTTCCTTTAGTTCAGTGATGAATATATTGGATATAGCGATGTTTATAAGCCGTTGAATGAGCATTGATTCTGGCTTAATCGAATGAAGCAGTGACACATTGAGGTTCTGGTCTTCAGTGTTGGGGATTGTTATCTTTCGGTGGAGCTCTATTCACTACTCATATGGGTAACACATCAGTATTCTTCACTACTGCCTCTTCTTTGTCCCTGAGTAGTATATAGCTTGAGACCCCATCCTACAACTTCATCGCTACTCTCTGCTTTTCTGTAAAACTCACCCTTACTCCTCGTATACACCATGCCACACTACTCTGCTTTCTCAAATTGCATACTCTGTTCGGGTTGGCTGGGCGCTGCAAACTGGACAAGGGAGTTTGAAATAGGTAAATTATAATCTTCTCCGGGTTCTCAGTTGTTAACAGACTTTATCTAGTGTACCATGAACGCGGCAAACTTTACCATGGTCATATGCACTACAGGGAATCCAATCATTATCAGGAGGTATCATTCGATGGGGCTAACGGTCAAACGGATTGGGTTCAAGTGGTTCCTTGCAGACATACCACAGGAATAGAATGCTTTTTGATCCATACATCTTGCTATCGTGTGCTTCTTGACCAAACTACATCGCAGTTAGGAGTTGAAGAGTTGTTCCGATTATGCCAGGCATTACAACCAGATACTCAAAGATATTTTGGGCCCCACGCCCTACTCTACCTGGACAGTATGACACAGCCCTTTGCGGATATTCCAAAACATGCTGATATCACTTCCCAGGTTGCCTTGATCCACATGATACTATAATCCCTTCTGACCTTGCGACGCTTTGTACTGGGCCGTACATGGAGACAAAGTCTGCTCATTGTGATTCAAAACTGCTTGGACTGCCGGGTGAGATTTTGACCATGATCCTCGAATACCTGTCCCCGACGGATCTCCTTCGCCTTTTTTGTACCAGCAAGATTGCGTTGGATTATGGAGATTCGGTTATGCGCACAAAACCACGCCAGTTCTACCGGTGCATTCCCCGCTGATAACGAAGGTATATCCAAGCGCCGACTGCTGCTTGTTCTTTCTCTTAGGTCTCCCAAATCACGCAATGAAGGACTCGATCTGAGATGGGAGGTAGTGTCTAGGATAACAGTATTGAGCAAGTTAATACGCTACATTGCTACAGAATCGATACCGCCGACTGTGGAAATATGGGCTCCGAAGAAATTGGTCAACCATGCTTACGGATTATGGAATTCTTTCGCAGACTTGACGACTGGTGTCGAAGTTATTACGGTCTATGGGATTAGAATCAAGGATCATGTTTACGTTTGCGGAATTGACTTTCTGACAAGAAGCACTCATCAGCACATTGGTCACCACTCCAAGCTAGTCTCTCGAGTCGAGATTCTTCCCACCCAGGTTTACTTTGTCTATTTCCTGGCGGACGCTTTTGGTATTAGAGGCTTGAAGTTCGGTTTTTCAGCGTGGAGCTTTGAGGAACCGAAAAGCGATCAATGCTGGGAAGGATTTAGTATAAGGAGACGAGAAGGGAGGCTTAGGATTGTGCGAGACGTATGTGTTCCTTACTGTAGCATAACTACTGATTGGGTGCCAAAGTTAATGATAACACGCAGGCAGTCAAATTCAGATATATTGGGTGGTGCTCCGACACTACCCCTTCTTTCGAGGAAACCCTTCTAGTGCGGAGTAGGAACGCATTCTATAAGAGTGATATTGATGAGAACGATTACTTTCCGCTGTACCCTTACCGGGAGGAACAGCTCGTGTCTGATTTTGGGAACGTCACCGTCGAGGCTCTGTGGGTAACGGAGGATCTATCGGGAGTCACGATCTACAGCGACCCAGATGTGATAAGTGGTGTCGCTATGCATGACTCGTCGGGGACAAGCATCGTTGGTGATGACGCAGGCGATAAGGATTACTTACCAATACACGGACCGGATGAGTTTCTTGCGGGGGTTGTTGTTCGCATGCATCCATTCTACGATTTTCCGCTACTTAAAGTAAGTAAATCTACTTTTGTTTGCCAATTTTACTTCATCGGCTCATTGTGAGTAGCTCAAGACCAACCGGGGCCGGCAATGCTCTTCCTTATCCTCAGTATCAGAGGAGGAGTACAGCAGTCGAAATATCGAAACCCTAGAAGATTGTTATATCAAAGGCTTCTACTTTCGGCTTGAATTCTCCAGTATTCTGTCTATTGGGGTTATCTACGGCAATCTAGGGGAAAGTGATGGCTGACAGGATGAAGCCTAGAGATCTTGACCTTGGACAAAGCCTGCAAAGCTGTTTTGCCAGCGGGTTTAACAAATTCTGTTAAGTTTCCTTTTTCTGGTCATTTCTACTGAAGAAAACCCTATTTGTCCATGGAGCACTTTTCACCGTATCGAGATACTACTAATAGCACACCTCTTCCATCCACTTGTTCCAGGCTCTGAAAATCAGTCCAACAAGGAGTATCTAGAATAGTACATATTATAAAGACCACCGTCCGATAGCACTCTATTCTTTCTGTGATCATCCCACATTATTCATATTATAACACAAAACCAAATTAATCTCTCACATATTATCCCCCCCACGACTCTCCAGTTCCTCATACAGCTCCTTTGTCCTCTCAAATCCATCATCCAGCGCACCCTTCCCCAACTTATCGTCATGGTTGATAAACCGCCCTACCCTCTCCATCATGAATCCCCTGTACCGCGCTGTACTACACAAATGCGTATGCCAGACTAGATCTATATCCAATGTCGGAACGAGCATAACGCCGGGATGAAGACGAAACAACTCGACGAAGTTGTTGTAGCGTTTTCGAGCAGTCTCTAGTATTTCCTCGGCATCAGGATAAGAGATCCATAGACAGTTGTGCATCTGGTCGATGAAGTTCATTTGGCGGAGGACGTTGTGTAGAAGGGCTTCGTTTTCGGGAGGTATTGATGGATGTTTTTCTTGGTTTGGTTGGTCTGGTGTGGACTGGGTTCCGCTAATGGTGTCTGTGAGAGTGACAAGAGGGTTTGTTGTTATGTTTGCGGTAGATTCGAGCCATTGTTTGTTCGATCTGTGGAGGGTATATGACCAGTTGGTTGGGTTGATGCAGTCGTGCTGCAACGTAATAGTTGTTTAGTATGCGGTGTATATCAATCCATGGTGCAAACCTACTATAACAACCCATGGGAAAGACACTCTTTGAATTCGATCAAGCTGACGGCTTGTACAGAATTCCTTGTAATCGGATGGGTTGAGCAAAAATGCGTGCCAAACCATGAGTATGTCTGACAGTTTCAGTAAAATGAATACGCCCATCATGGCCGACAGTGAAACTTACCAACAGGGGGAAGTATAAGCGTTTTCTTGTTTCCATCACGCTCAAGCTGCTTCTCCGCAGCACGGATCCAGACCTGGAATCTCTCAACAGCAAGCGACACGAACCGATGCCACTTTTCCGTCCTCTTTGTTTTCCTACGATGTTTCGGTATCCATAATCGGCTTGAATCGAGACGAAATACGCGGTCTAACTCCTTCGACTGGATGATCTGGATACGCAGGTTATGGAATACTTCGAGCAGTTCGAGATGGACGGCACATTCCCCGATCGCTGGGAGGTCCGCGTTACCTCTTTGAATATCATTTGATGCGGTACCTAAGTTCTTGAATAAGTCTGGATGAGGGATTGAGGTATTTTGGGTTGTTTCTTTGAAGGGACGGCGCAGGAACATGGGGAAACGTCGCTGGCGATGGGCCATCGTGCTAACAAGATCAGCAGTGCCATATATTGGGTTGTCCTGAAGAAAAGGACTTGTTTTCGTTTCTGGTTCGGTCTATATATCTGCTCTTCTGACAGCCTTGTGTTCTACGAAGGCTACTTGACATCAGTCTTGCAGGCTGAGCAAAGCTAAACGGTGAATGATGCCCTGATGACTATCGAGTCACGAGATCGTGTCCAGTCAGAGGGTATCATCAAAGAAATGGCTTGCAGGCAGTGCAATGGCAGCCTTCCCATTTGCGAATAATCAAGACTCAGCATACAGCCCGTGTTCAAGATCTGACCCAAGCCAACCTAACAACAACTGGTGTGTCCTATCAACCATCATAAAGTTGGCAGTGGTCTAAATCTTAAACGGTCACTCTGCGACTATTATTTTGATACGCTGAACCTCTCTAGTGGAATACTGCGGACTATTAAGCTTAACAAGCACGCAATTTAACTGTTCGGCATGTCAGCGTCCGTCGCGGAGCTTCTGTTAAAGATTGATCCCCGCCAAGACGCCGCTTCTCCTTCGTTCGGCACTAGAATCCCGCCAACCGACTATCTATGGATGCCTCAAACGCAGATATTTGTCTCCGGTTCGAAGAGGGGCTCTGGATCATGACAAGCATCCGGTGACGCAGCTGGAGGAGTTGCCAAGCAGAGATTGCGTTGCTTCTTAGGGGTAAAGAGGGAAGGGATCGGCAGAGAGAGCGAAAAGGTCACGGAGGGAGACAGCGCTCTAGATCGGACAGAAAGGTCCAGCATTATCGAGATTGCATTACCTGGGAGGTTATTGGTCTCGTGTGTGCAGTTCGTCTGTCAGCGAGAATGGCAGGGTCTGCAAATCATAGCCGCCGGAATTGGGGGAAGATTGTTATCGAGAAAGCGATCAGTGGATCAACTCCGGGGCCGAAATCGTCAGCGCATGTCGGCATCGCCTCAGCCGGGGATTCGACCGACAAGCCATGACGGAGTGACTCGCAATGACAATCAGGCTTTCCGGCTACTCCTCTTCTCTTCAAACAATCCACTGCACCACCATGGAGCTGCTGTTTCAGTCCGGGCTCCTCTCCGTGTATTTACAACCCAAAATAATATAATTGCAGCAGAACCTGGTCCATTAGACAAGCCACTACGAGGATGCTGACGCAGCCCTTGTGGTGCAGGGCCCATCCTCCGCTATCACGGCCAGCCTGTGCCTTTGGGAGACGATCCGGCATTGTTCTTCTCCCCAGGGCTCTTCAGCTGCGAGTCTCGTCCTCGTCCTCGCTCTCGCGTCTGCGCCATAAGAACCCTAGTGTCTCCTCCTCTCATTCTCCGGTTGTCTCCTCCTCCAATGCTTTGCTCTGTCCCGTCACACGTCCGACTCTAGTCCCTTCCATCGCCGCAGCCACCTCCGCTACCTCCGTGACCCTACCTCCAATGACCACCCAATCCAGAGACCACGGTGGCCACCATGGCCACCACCACCACCATCACCATCACGGAAACGTCTACCTTACCTCTACCGACAAACATGATGCTGGTGTGCGAATTACGCGACTTGGCCTACTCGCTAACCTCGCCATGGCCATCGGGAAGTTCATCGGCGGCTACGTGTTCCATTCCCAAGCCCTCATCGCCGACGCCTACCACGCCCTTACCGATCTAGTTTCCGATTTTCTGACTTTAGGCACAGTCGCCTGGTCGCTCAAGCCGCCGAGCGAGCGATTCCCTAATGGTTATGGCAAGATCGAAAGCATCGGAGCATTAGGGGTTAGCGGGCTGTTGCTCTGCGGAGGTGTGTTCATGGGCCTCAATTCCGGCCAAGTTCTGCTGGATCAGTTCTACCCCCAGGCTGCGGAAGCGATCGCGCATGTAGGCGCCCTGGGACACGGTCACTCGCATAGCCACGGCGTTGAAGCAATGGGCCCGAGCATTCATGCCGCATGGCTTGCTGCGGGGTCCATCGTGGTGAAGGAGTGGTTATATCATGCTAGTGAGTACCTTGAGGAATCCCTGCCCTAACACTAACTGCAATCGCTGACTGCTCCTTTCCCCAACAGCGATGAAAGTTGCTACGGAACGCAAGTCCTCGGTACTAGCCTCCAACGCCATCCACCACCGCATCGACTCCCTGACCAGTATTGTCGCTCTCTTTACGATTGGCGGAACCTATCTCTTCCAAGACGCATCCTGGCTGGACCCTGTGGGTGGACTGTTGATTTCGCTGATGGTCATCAAGGCCGGATGGGGAAACACCAAGACGTCGCTGCTGGAGCTCGCTGATACGAACGTTGACGATGACATCAAGGAATCAGTACAGAAAGCCGCGGCTAAGATGCTGGCGAAATTGGAGGGTGGCGATGCCATCAAGGTCCGTGATGTGCAGGGCATGAAGTCAGGACAGAACTATCTGATGGATGTAGAGATCGCTGTGCCGGGCGCGTGGTCTGTCAGTCGAACCCGGCAGGTCGAGGAGTCCATCCGCACTGCGGTCGGGGAAGGCGTGCGTGGAGTCAAGCGTCTCAAAGTTCGGTTTATCCCCTTGGAGCACGAGGAGCTGAGTTTCACGGAGGAGTTCATCCCTGCGGATGTCACTTCTCGTGCGCGTCCTGAGCCAGAGGATGGCGAGGAGGATGAGCATGACCATGACCATGACCATGACCATGACCATGAACCCCGCAAAACCCGCTAAGGGTCAGGTTCTGTCCCTATGAATAGCATGGATTGGCATGATCAGATCTGTCCGCTCCATGTGTCAGTCGTTCACTAGCGTTCTGCACCCCCCAATTCGATGATACCCGAGGATGGATAGTGGGGGGACATCCAACATCCAGTCTGCTGCCGTGGAGTACTAGCCAGTTGGATAGAATAGAAGATTGATAGGCGATCCCAGGTGGAAGTAGAGAGGGGGACAGGGAGTGGGATTTTGGAATCAAAATAGAAGGGATTGTATTATCTATGATTACTGTGTATCTATCGGGTCTGGACGAATGTACCAGAGCGCACCGAACTCGATCCCATGAGGCGATCCGCGGGATCTTCACTTTAGCCGCAGGCCTTAGCCAGTTGGTCGTAGTCCAGCACTAGTCTAACTTTTCCCTGTAAAGGATCCTAGAAAAAAAAAAAAGTCTGCAGAAGGGACTTTCGGGTTGACTCTGAGAATCTAGACCCACGATGGCGGTCATTCAGCAAGATCACTTGAGTCCAAAGTGGCCTCGCTCCCTTTTACTAGTCATTAACCGGGTAAATTCCCGGCGGCGGTGGGGGGTTGCAGGTTAAATCAATATCTTCTTATCGTGAACCCCACGCGTACCAAAAAGCACAAGAAGAATGAGAGTCACTCAGTAAGCAGCGCCCACGTCGGTAAAAAAGACGAGGTCGGGCACGATCAGTCATGGGATCTGCTCTCTGGCACGCCGACATGCCAATTGCCTTCCTGTTGGTCGGATTTTGCCGACCAGCTGCCAGGCTGGCGGGAGTTCAAGGGATAAATCATCCATCGGTGTGTTGACTTCATTGCTTCTTGCAATTGTTCTCTTTTCCACCCCTCTCTTCTTTCATTAGCTTCACGTAAAAACACACGGGCTTTCTAGAATTTGATTCTTTTGGATTCTTCCATTTCAATTGAGACCTCTCCACTCTACCTTATCTCTTCTTCCCTCCCTTCCGTGGAATTGCCATCCCACTTCCACCCATACGTCATCATTCCCCCGGGCCGCACTCACCATGCAAGGTCCTCTATACATTGGCTTCGACCTCTCCACCCAACAACTCAAGGGTCTCGTCGTCAATTCCGACCTCAAGGTCGTTTATGTCTCCAAATTCGACTTCGACGCCGACTCCCGCGGCTTTCCCATCAAGAAGGGTGTTCTCACCAATGAAGCCGAACATGAGGTCTTTGCCCCCGTGGCCCTGTGGCTGCAGGCCCTGGATGGCGTCCTAGAAGGGCTGCGTAAACAAGGCTTGGACTTCAGCCAGATCAAGGGCATCAGTGGTGCGGGACAGCAACACGGAAGTGTATACTGGGGAGAAAACGCAGAGAAGCTGTTGAAGGGATTGGATGCAAGCAAGACGCTTGAGGAGCAATTGGACGGGGCTTTCTCGCACCCGTTCAGTCCTAACTGGCAGGATTCGAGCACTCAGAAGGAGTGTGATGAGTTTGATGCCGCTCTGGGTGGCCAGAGCGAGCTGGCCTTGGCCACAGGAAGCAAGGCACACCATGTGAGTATCCACCCCCGCAATAGTCTACATGAGTGTAGAGGGGTTTGGCAATTGCTAATTGTTAGTAGAGATTCACAGGTCCGCAGATTATGCGTTTTCAGAGAAAGTACCCTGATGTTTACAAGAAGACGTCGCGGATCTCGTTGGTATCCTCGTTCATTGCATCCCTTTTCTTGGGTCACATTGCACCGATGGACATCTCCGATGTCTGCGGCATGAACCTTTGGAACATCAAGAAGGGTGCCTATGATGAGAAGCTTCTACAGCTCTGCGCCGGCTCGTCTGGCATTGATGACCTGAAATGCAAGCTGGGCGAGGTTTTCGAAGATGGAGGCATCCATCTCGGCCCAATTGATCGGTACTACGTGGAACGCTACGGCTTCAGCCCCGACTGTACGATCATCCCCGCCACCGGTGACAACCCTGCCACTATCCTTGCTCTGCCCCTACGAGCCTCCGATGCTATGGTGTCTCTGGGCACTTCGACCACCTTCCTCATGTCCACACCCAGCTATAAGCCTGACCCGGCCACTCACTTCTTCAACCACCCCACCACTGCGGGTCTGTACATGTTCATGCTTTGTTATAAGAACGGTGGACTGGCCCGCGAGTTGGTCCGGGATGCAGTTAATGAAAAGCTCGGCGAGAAGCCGTCTACTTCATGGGCCAACTTCGACAAAATTACACTGGAGACTCCGCCCATGGGCCAAAAGGCTGACTCCGACCCAATGAAGCTGGGTCTGTTTTTCCCTCGTCCAGAGATTGTGCCAAACCTGCGCTCGGGTCAGTGGCGCTTCGATTACAATCCTAAGGACGGCAGCCTGCAGCCCTCGAATGGCGGCTGGGATACTCTTGACGAGGCTCGCGCCATTGTCGAGAGCCAGATGCTGTCATTGCGTCTGCGGTCTCGTGGCCTTACTCAGAGCCCTGGTGAGGGCATCCCCGCGCAACCACGTCGGGTGTACCTGGTTGGCGGTGGGTCGAAGAACAAGGCCATTGCTAAAGTGGCTGGAGAGATCTTGGGTGGTAGTGAGGGAGTGTATAAGCTGGAGATCGGTGACAACGCCTGTGCGCTGGGTGCAGCGTATAAGGCGGTTTGGGCCATGGAGCGAGCTGAGGGACAGACTTTTGAAGATTTGATTGGAAAACGGTGGCACGAGGAGGAGTTTATCGAAAAGATCGCGGACGGTTACCAGCCTGGAGTGTTTGAGCGTTACGGCCAGGCTGTAGAGGGCTTTGAGAAAATGGAGAAGGAGGTGCTGCGCCAGGAAGGGAAGCACTGAGCACGAGGATGAAGCTGAGTGGGGTATGGACCGCTCAAACTAATAATGGTAGAGTTATGAATTGCAATGCAATGGTATCAAGCAATCAGTAAAAAAGGCATATAGTTGGGTAGACATAAGAGTAACTACATCTTATATATGCCTGAATAGTCGGGCATCAACGGCACGCCGCCCGTTGCCGTTTTGGGGCGGAACAGCGGCCACACAAACTCAGGCACGAAAGATTTCTTTCGTCGTTTTCTTTTTTGTTTCCTTCCGGCGGCACGTCATCGGCACGAGAGCATTCACGGTTTTCTTGAAAATACCAAGTCCACAAGCCCCGTTGCTGACGAGCTATTGTACAACTCGTCCGGTGAGCAGAATTTGCGGTTTCTCGCTTCCCCAGGTGACTGGGTCTGACGCCGAAGAAAGAATCCACTTGCTCCAACGCACTAGTGATGGCTCAATAGGCTGGCCTCTGCGACTAGTTCTGTTCTGCTATGACTCTCCGCCGCCATCTGCATTTTGACCGAACAACCACCTCCATCGTTCCTCGATCCCTCCCCCTCACCCTCATTGCTTTCCGAGTCCTGCGACTCTGAAGGCAGCCCGGCTGGTCGAAGATGGAAGAGCAGGTAAGCTGCAGTCCCTAGTCTATACATTGACCCTCTTTTGGTCTTTGTCTTCTTTTACCTTTGCTCGCTTTTTTTCTTTTTCTGTTCAGCCCACACCCCACCACCGATCTCTCTTCCCCTCCATCCTACCCCCTCCTCCCCTTTCTTATATCCCCTCTTCCCCCTCTCATATTTCCCCTCATTCCCATGTTTCCCCCTCCGTCGACCTCTCGTTGACCCTCCCCCGTGTAGGTAGCAAATGCCATAGAAATCGCCGGGAACCCAACCTCCGACCAAACTCTTAAGGCTCAGGCCTTCGACTACCTGAACCAACTCCGCACCGACCCCTCCGGATGGCAGGTCTGCCTTACCCTTTTCACTAAGACTCCGCAATACTCCGAAATCATACGGCATGTGGCGTTGGAAGTTGTCAACAGTGCGGCCCAGGCGGGTTTCATTGACCCCCAGGCGTTGGGCTATGTCCGGGACGGCCTGATGGCCTATCTCCGCCAGGTGTACGGTCAGGATAACGTTACCCCCGATCCGACCAGTATCCAAAACAAGATCGCCCAGACCATCACCTTCCTCTTCTCAGCCCTCTACGGCAATGGCTGGGAGACTTTCTTTGACGACCTTCTCAGCCTCACATACAAGAGTTCGGCCAGCACAAGTCACGACAACCCGCTCGGAATTGTCTTCTACCTGCGTGTCATCAATGCGATCCATGAGGAAATTGGTGACGTGCTTGTGTCTCGGTCCCGCGCCGAGCAGGACAAGGCCAACCTGCTCAAGGATTTGATTCGCTCGCGCGACATGCAGAAAATCGCCAACTCGTGGCAGCAGATCTTGTCCGAATGGCGGGACGGAAATGATACGATCGTCGAGATGTCCCTGAGGGCGGTCGGCAGCTGGGTCAGCTGGATCGATATCGGTCTTGTGGTGAACCAGACCATGCTGGACCTTTTGTTCCAGCAGCTCGGTCGAGCGCAGAAGGCGGAGCTCCGAGAAGGAGAAGAGAAGGTGCGCGATGCGGCGGTAGACGTCTTCACGGAAATTATCGGCAAGAAGATGAAGCCAGAAGATAAGATGGATATGATCATTTTCCTGAATCTCGATACTATTGTTACTCAGCTCTCGAACAGTCCCCCTCTTCATGATAACAGGTTTACCTTCAAGTACGATACTGACCTGGCGGAAACGGTGGCCAAGTTAGTCAACATTACCGTCATTGATATTGTACGGGCTTTGGAGCAGGACACCGTCACGGCCGAGTGCAATGCCAAAGCCACCGGTCTGCTGCAGGCCTTCTTGCCGCATATCCTGAGATACTTCTCCGATGAATACGATGAAGTCTGCTCGACTGTGATCCCCTGCGTGAGCGACCTCCTGTCCTATCTGCGGAAGATCGCCAAGGTCAACCCTGCCCTGGCCGAACAACATTCATCCATCCTGCTTCCCATTCTGAAAGCCATCATCGCCAAGATGCGCTACGATGAGACTTCATCCTGGGGCGACGAAGACGATCAGACAGACGAGGCAGAATTCCAGGAACTTCGGAAGCGCCTGGGCGTGCTGCAGCAGATCGTCGCAAGCGTCAACGAGCAGCTCTGCATGGAGGCTGTCTCGGAGGTTGTGGGAAACACATTCGAGAGCTTGCGTCAATCGGGGGCTCAGCTCGACTGGCGGGACTTGGACCTGGCTCTCCATGAGATGTTCTTGTTCGGCGAGGTTGCCGTTAGGGCAGGCAGCTTGTACAACAAGGGAGTTCCTAACAACGCGGCCGCGGAGAGGTTGGTCGGTATGATGTTGAAGATGGTCGAGTCAGACATCCGGTCTTTCACCCACCCAGCCACCCAGTTGCAGTACATGGAGATCTGTGTTCGCTACAGCTCCTTCTTCCAGTATCACACCCATCTGATTCCGACCGTGCTGGAGAGCTTCCTCCAACTGGTTCATCACCCGGTCAAGAAGGTGAAGACACGGTCATGGTACCTTTTCCAGCGCTTGGTAAAGCAACTCAGAACCCATGTTGGAAATGTGGCGCAGACCGTCGTCGAGGCGTTGGGCGACTTGCTCGTGATCAACGCTGAGTTGCCGACTGAAGGCTCGGATGGAGATGAGATGTCCTCAGAGGACCACGAGGGGTCGGCCGATGCTGTCTTTAACAGCCAGCTGTACCTGTTCGAAGCCGTGGGCATCATCTGTTCCACCCCGACTGTTCCCGCTGACAAGCAGGTCCTCTACGCACAGTCTGTGTTGAACCCCGTCTTCATGGATATGGAGAAGAACCTGGCCCCGGCTAAGGCCAATGATGAGCGGGCTTTACTGCAGATACACCACGATATCATGGCACTGGGTACGCTTGCCAGAGGCTTCTCCGACTGGATGCCGGGAACCAGCTCCCCCGCTTCGTTGCCTGCACCTGAAGTCTCGGAGGCGTTCATGCAGGTCTCCGAGGCTACTCTCGTCGCGCTGGAGTCGCTGAAGACATCCTTCAATGTCAGAACAGCTGCTCGGTTTGCATTTTCGCGCCTTATTGGCGTTCTGGGATCCCGCATCCTGCCCCAGCTGCCGCGGTGGATTGACGGTCTGCTCACACAGACGTCCTCTCGGGATGAGATGGCTCTGTTCCTGCGACTGCTGGATCAAGTCATCTTCGGTTTCAAGGCGGAGATCTACTCTATCCTAGATGCGCTGTTGACCCCATTCCTGCAGCGGGTGTTCTCTGGCATTGCAGACGCCCCGACCGGCACTGATGACGAGGTCCAGCTGGCCGAGCTGAAGCGGGAATACCTCAACTTCCTGCTGGCGGTCCTGAACAACGAGCTTGGGGCCGTTATCATTAGTGAGCGTAAGTTTCATTGATTTTGATATTAGAATCACAACTAACGACACTAGGGAACCAACCCATGTTCGAAACGGTCATCGGTACTATCGAGCATTTCGCCAAGGACATTGAGGACTTCACTACTGCTAAGATGGCGTTCTCAGTCCTGTCGAAGATGGGTAGCTCTTGGGGCGGGCCCGACATTGCACCGGAGGGTGCGAATGGTGCAGCAGCCCAGCAACAAGCACTGCCAGGATTTGGTCAGTTCATGATCACCCGGCTGTCGCCTCTGTGCTGGGCGCTGCCCGCAACCCCGTCCTTCAACTCGAAGGATGCACAGGCCAAGCAGGTCCTCGCCGAAGCAGGAGGTCTGCAGCGCACGATATACGCCAAGACAGGAATGGAGTACCTCCAGTACTTGCGGGATCGCGAGTTGCCAGGAATGGGAATGGGAGCGGACTTGGTGGAGGAGTTTGTGGGAGCATTGGGCCGGCTGGACATGAAGGGATTCCGGCAGTTCTTCCCGGTATGTGATCATACCCATATACTTAACGCTTTAGACTTGCTAACGGACCCGACAGTCCTTTATCCAGCGATTGAGCGCATGATGTTGTGGTCTTTTCATCTTATCTTAACATTTTCATTTGTTTTACCCATCCGATCATTTGTTTCAGTCCTAGATTCCCCCACGGTTTGGTTTGATGACTGATGTTCTCATGTGACCATTTACAAAACATTCACCCACACACACACTGAAGCTCTTATCGCCGACACCCACACACATATTCCTCCTGTCCTCTATCTCTCTATCCATATGTCCGTCTGTCTGCTTTCCATTCTGCTTGAACTATTTTGTATGCGGTTTTTGTCTGTTTCGGAATTAAGGATGATAAAAAAGAAGGTATATAGTGTTTCTTTTCTTTTCTATCCCCCTTTCCTATATCCACTTTGGCATGGCATTTTATATTGCATGAGCAGGCGTTTTCAGACCCAGACTCCCAAGTCCGTTTGCGTGCCTGTATGCTGCTTTGCTTTGCTTTGCTTGCTCTATTGCTTTATTGAGGGTGGGTTGCTGGTTGGTTGGTTGGTTGCTGGGCTGGCTAGATCGTTATTAAGTACCTAGAAAGTTAGTTCGATTGATTTGGTTGGTTAAAAGCGGGTGAGGGGGGTGGTGTGGTGGAAGTAGGTAGATAGGTACGTAGAAGAGAACAAAGGTTATTAGGATAGACAGATGCATGTTTGGTCTGATTGATTGTAGAGTATCCCATTAACCTAATCTCAATGACATAGCTAGTAGTAAGTACTATCTCAGTGCTACCTCCTACTCAATTCAACCCCTTAAAAACCTGAACCAATTTATCCTGCATATCACAGAAAATATTCACAGCCTAGACAGTAGTATAACCCCCATTAGCATCAACATCATCAACAACCCAACCACCTTATCCCCCCAACCAAACCAAACAATGAAAAATATAACCAAACTCACCTGAGTCAACTTCTCCTCACTCAACCCATTCGCATCCCTCGTAAACGCAATCCGATACCCCGCCTCATCACCCACATACGACACCTCCTTCCCAGGCACAGCCCCCTCCACCACAGCAGGAGAATCAAATAACGACACCACAGGTACCTTCCCCTCCAACAGCGGCTTCGCCAACTCATCCAACAACCCAGGAGCAATCGTAATATGCTGCACGCCCGCCAAGGCGAAGATCTCGTTCGTGGACGTCAAACTAGCGGGTAATACCTGTGTTTGGGATCCGATGGAGGCGTAGTATTTCTGGACTAGGGCGCTGAAGTGTAGCAGGGGGAAGGGGTCTTTGAAGCTGTAACTTTCATTTAGTACTGGGTGTAGTTGTGTGGGTTTATGGGGGAGGAGGGTAATAGGGAGGTGTATACCCCGGCTCAAAATGCACTCGCAGTTGGTTCACGTATGGTGCGATGTACGTGCATCCTACTTCTGCTGCTAGGATGGCTTGAGGCATGGTGAAGAGGGTTGTGGCGAGGGTTCGCACCCCGGCTTGTTCGAGGACTTGGCATGCTTTGAGACCTTCCCAGGTGCTGGGGATTTTGATGCAGATGCGGGATTGCGGGTGGGTGGGGGAGAGGTGGTGGGTTAGGTTGACTATGCCTGTTTTGTGGTTTGGGGGGGGTGGGGTTAGTGGTGGTTTGTTGTGTTGTGTGTATGTAGAGGGGATGGATGGATGGATGTACGTACGGAGGGCGTTGACGATGGTCTTTTCGGTGGAGTAGGAGTAGTAGGGGTTTGTTTGGATGTGAATGTGGCCGGTGATGTGGGGGGCGATTCTGAGGGAGAGGGATATCATCTAGTTCGATTTATATATAGTATTTGTGGTGAGTTGATGGTGTTGGGAAGGAGAAGGGAAGGTGTACGCACTGCTATCTCGATGGCAAGTTCTTCGATGGTTAGACCGGGGTATTCTTGGATGAGAGCTTTGGCTTTGGTGAGAGAGGAATGGAGAAGCTCGGAATGTTCGGGCTTGGTGAGTTCGTTGTAGGCTATTGCCTGTGGTGTTGTTAGCTTGGTGGTAAGGATGGGGTGGATGCAGCAAATTGTAGGTGTATACCTGGTTGGAGGTGCAGTCGTGGAAAGGACCAAGGGTTTTGGCAACTGTGCTTATATTTTAGTAGATAGTGGAGGTGCATGAAGCAAGATACGTGCCTTGCTCGTCCATGGTGTCGCAGTCGACAATGGAGCGAGAGCGGATGTAGTCGAGTCCAGTTTGGATAGTCATGGTGGTTGCTGTACTGTCTGATGGTGGATTATTGTCTGGTGATTTGGATGATGAAGCTATGATATCTTGGTATTGGAGAGTTGAAGTGATCTATTGAAATACGAAGTAGATAGGCTGGGCATGGAGGAGGGGAGGGGAAGATCAGATAAGCATGCCTCGTAAACCTCCCCTCATGCCATCTCATATATTTAGCCTAAATGGTTGCTTTATATTGTTTATTCCTTGGACGCTTTCGGTCCGAGAGTCTCTTTTCTCCGACCTTCTTGGTCGGAGGGTTGGTCGGGAGAGAATACCGATGTCTACGGAGAATGTCCGTAGGATACATCATTGGATAGCCTCCTGTCATGTCGAGTAAGGCGAGGTTAAGCTCCAGGTTAGACATATTGATCGACAGTTGTCAGCCAAGTGCCACGGAAGGTACACAGGTAATGATTTTAATGTGTACTCCAGCACTACATGATTTGTGAGCATATCGATCGCCAGGAGTACTTGCAAAATGGTGGTGGTCGGCTGTAGCTTACCTGTCTATAGATATACTAGTTGACAACTGTATGAGCACAACTCGTCATTTTCCTTCCTTGTCCATACACCGCCCCAATAGTTCCTAGAGCCTGAGATCTTAACGACCAATATTTTTGCATGCTCCGAACAATGATATGGGTTCTAAATAGAATTGTAGACTAGTTGAGGTTGTCAGAGTTTAGCGTGCCATGATCATTTTGCTGCGGGACTCTCCCCGCACTTGCCCCGGCTTTGAGAAGACTTCTTACATTCTACTTGGGGTTTAGTTATGGATAGTGACTGGAAGTTCAGTAAGTTAATGAGACGAGCATCGACGATGACTTTGAAGCAAACGCTTGTACAATTACAATGAGATCAACTGCTCTCATATTACCGCGGATTCAAAGAATACTACTAGTACGTTTTCTCTGGATGATTTTCCTCAGCAGTTGATATATATTAGACATCTCTCTTGGCTACTACCGGTCTGAACATCAGGCCTCTTATGGAGAAGACATTTGATAAGCTCGATAAGTGACAATAACAGGATCATGGGATCGAGAGGTTCTGTATATTGAACGTAATAGAAATCGCAGGTTGCTGTGATAAGCTTATGGATGGGCCTGCTGAGCACCCTATGGCCTTCAGGCAATTATTGACTGGCCTTCTCTCGCTTGTCAAATGAGCTCTCCCACTAACTGCAGGGCTTTTGTTTGGCAAGCCTTTTCTGCACTCGCACAACATCGCAGTTATGTTTGGATGTCTGCCTTGAAAACAGACGTTGAGGGCTTAACAAAATCGAGCCGAGACAGCAGCAGCAACCACTGACAAGCAATGTAGCAAGTACATGACCGTTCAGGAGTGTTATCGAACCCCTGTCAGCTAAGCGGAAGACCTCTCAAAATCTCAGCGACGGCGTCCATGTTCCAAGCTACATTATAGCTTTGATGCTTGCTCTACACGAGGCCTCAAGGGCTGGTTCTACGCGAATTCGTAGCGAATCCTACAGTCATGTGACCCTGATATGAAACCCTTCCATCTCATAGGATAGAGAAGAATGGGCGATTAACGACGGGACAGCTCCTTCTCAGGTATCTCATATGACCTCGGCGGTCACGACAGAATGCCGAACCAGTGAGGCCCTGCTAAGCACGTCGACATCATCCCGAATGGTAGACAACGTGGGCGGAGACCCTTGAGAGAGAAGAAAAAGAAGAAGAGGAAGAGAAAGCGACGGGAGAAACACACAAAAGTCGAAAAGCCCGAACTAGCGGGCGGTGAGGAGATGGAAGATGGATCTTCCGAGTGGTAATGCACGGCTGCTCATTGGCTGATTTTGGGGCATCGGGTGAAGTCCCGTGACTGGGAGGTGAACCCGAGGTTGTCCGTCCCGTGATTCCGAAGCGTTACGAACGAGTCGGCAGTTCGAGGCTACTTTCTTCTTGGACGACTACGACGACGACGGTCAGCTTCGTGTGCCCGATTCAGCCTCTCACCACTTCTTGAGGTTATCAATTTCATCATGCTCTCTCAGAAGGTTGCTCAACAATCGCTGCGGCGGCGTACGTACTTACTTCATCCTCTACAGCTAATCGCGCGACACTGACCTCAATGTTGCAGTTGCCGTCCAGCAGCCCTACGCCCTGCGTTGGTCTTTGATGAACTCGGTCTCCCCGGCTGCTGTTGCTCTCGGAAGAGCCGTTCAGACTAGGTGAGCTACTATGCGTGATTGGGACACTCAGATGCGACTTTCGACTTGGGAGGGGTTCGCGATATCGAATTCGACGTCATGAAGTGAATGTCGCTAAGTGGAGGCGGAACATGGATTGCTAACGTTGTCATGCAGACACGCTGCTACCTCCTCCAACTCCTCCGACCCTACCAAGCTCCTCGCCCAGCAGCGTCTCAACCGCCCCGTCTCTCCCCACCTTAGCATCTACCGTCCCCAGATCACATGGATCGGCAGTAGTATCCACCGTATCACCGGTATTGCGCTGTCCGGAAGTCTCTACCTCTATGCCTCTGCCTACCTCGCCTCTCCCATGCTCGGTTGGGATCTGGGCTCTGCCTCCGCCGCCGCCGCTTTCGCCGCCCTCCCTGTTGTCGCCAAGGTTGCCCTGAAGACTACCATGGCCCTGCCTTTCACCTACCACTGCATGAACGGAGTGCGCCACTTGATTTGGGATACTGGTGCTGGTCTTACCAACGCCCAGGTCATCAAGACCGGCTGGACTGTGGTGGGTCTGAGTACTCTTAGCGCTCTCATTCTTGCTTTCCTGTGAACTATTGTGACATACCTCTGATTTCTGTTGTGTTTTAAAATTGTTTTCGTGCAATATATTTTATACCAGTCAATTGACGACTGTTTTTGGATTAAACTTCACATCTTCTCACCCAGAACTCTGAGCTCCGTCTCAACTGTTCAAGCCGTGGAATTTGTCGGCATGTAGGAGATATTTGAAACAAAGACTAATGCCTTAGCCGTGACCCCCTACAACCGCCCGGAGGGAAGGCGGAGCGATGGCCTTGATTTCACGGAAGGTACTTGTCGATAGGTATGTCCTAAAGCCATGAGTTTGGAGATCTACACAATCTTAGGTCATGACTGTTATGGCTCTCATGCAGAAACTGGCCGTGTCATTGTCTAGTGTGCATTCTACTCCGTGAACTCCTCTAAATCAAAGGACAAAATTAAAAGCAATCCGCCACGCCTCTATGTCCGTTTCCCCCATGACTTTGGCTTGAGAGCCTGGCAGTTGACATGTCTCAAGGATATTCTCCCTTTCTTGCCTTCGCCTGATAACGATGTCAAGATTTTGATTCAATGGTGCACTGCAAATTTCATTCCCTTCCTATCACGTTCTATTGCAGATTTGTCAGAACGTACTCAGCATCGCGGGGTAGGTTGTTGCTTATAAACTTACCTTCTCTACTAGTTTGCGCTGTCCTTTGAAAAGAACTAGTCTTGAACAATCGAAGATCATGCAGGGCTCGGGGGCGGATTAGGAGGTATAGGGCCTGGCGAGGGTGGATCATGCACCGAATAGGGAATTGGTGCGACATCCTCGCGGCTACTCCAGATTGGCCGAGGGATGTCCTCAAGTATGAAATCGAAATGGGCGCAATACATGACGCAATATCTTCGTTCAGTAAACATGGAGGTCAATTGACAAGACAGTTTTAGCAGCGGCTGGTCTGATAAAGGTATAAGGTGGTGCAGTTGTGTGACTATAAGTATGAAGGATTTGGTGATATGCCGCAAGATCAATGAAGGAGCAGATGACAACGGGGTAGAATATGAGCTGTTTCTCTTGGTGTGAGTTGGCTAACATCCCGCATTAAATACTAGCCCCAGAACCCAGCACTGGGTCCGAAGGATGCCTCTGAGTTGTACACCGCCATACCGATCAACGTCCTACCAGCAGTGAGGAACCGCGTGGATATGACACTTCCGATGGTCTAACGGTGATCTTCATGGCTATCGCCGGATCTCGATGGGATTTTTGCCGTTTCTGCAAGGGCCCGACGGATGTTTGGTGGTATGTCATGTTAAACAGCGCACGCTACGTTGTATGTTTCGACCAATTGCTCCATATTTTACCTCCTTGAGCACGAACTGACGAAATCTAGTGCGTAGCGTGATCTTACAGAAGACATGTTTTTTGCTGGTTACCCGACGGCTGGAGACTCCGGGCTGCAATCCCCGAGCGTACGGAAGACTAAAACTTCACGGTCCACTACATTCGATAACGGATGCAGGACTTCTATGCCCGGACTTTCATGATATACTGTACCCCACTAAGTTGTTAAACGGGAGCTGCCACCCGCCGATTCTCATTACCGCGATCGTCTGTTGGGTAATCTTATCTGTCATAGTCTACAGTGTTTATTCATTGCCGCTCTGATCCCAAGTACCTTGGGAGATTACGGATGGTCGTTTGATATTGCACCGTGAAGACCAAGCAGCATTATCTGCTGATATCCGAGCCCAGGGATACTACTGTTTGGTGCAAATGATCAAACGCGGGGGCCATCCGTCCAAGCAAGTTTACTGACACACTGGACTACTCAGCTGATAAAGTCAGTGTACTGAGAACGAACAGGACCTAAGTGTCGACATTATGCAGATTACATGTTTCGCTCGCCCCTCGACCATTCTTACTATGCTCTTATTTCCCATTTACCATTCTGGGTATTCCTAGCCAATTCATCCCGAACGATAGCCGGGGCTGGCGAGCTCAAAAGATCCTTAAACGAGCGGTCAACAAATGAAATAGAGTGGTAGCCAGCAAAGATACGGAAAAGTCCAGGTTATGGAACTGGAATACAAGGCACACTGCAGTAAGCACGTGGATTAATTTCTGAGCCTTGTGCCACTCCAAGAATGTTGAAGATTTAGGAAAGCGGGGGAGCAGCCCTGTTTGTTGCAGGGACTGCATTGGACTGCCTCCCCGCGGCAAGCAGTGCGTCGAATCGGATGCGCAATGAATTGCTGCCGACGACCGCAAAGCGACGCACTGAGGCACGGTGCATTGCCTTAGTAACTGGCGTCTTGCCGCAATTGACACGTACTATCCTTGCACAATGCCACTCTAGACACAATAGAAGGCTTGTGGTTAAACGCAGTAACAGGCTAGGTCCATCAAGAGTGAGCATAACTGTCTGAACCACCTTATTCGGAAAGGTTCGAGAGCAAAGGGTCCCTCAACCCCATTTCGCATGAAAAAAGAATTGCTGTGTTTGTTCTAATTCCAGCCCTAATCCCATGCGAAAGATTACAGGATAAGGCATGGATGTCAGACGGTAGGTACATGGCCGGCTTGCGATGACCCTCATTGCCATGTTCCAGAGGTGTGATCCGTATCTCAATCTTATGCCATCTTATATTCACATGCCACTATGGTACTGAAGCAACATGAGATAGTCACCATCTGTCCTGATTTCGCCAATACAGTCTCATACTTCAACACTGCGGTGGCGACTGGGCTCATGGAACAACTGCCGAATGAAGCATGAGCTGATTCTACGCTCAGACATACCACAGTTTTGAGCGACATGATGCACACAATAATCGGGGAATGGCGGGACACGAGTGCTACAACAATTGCACATAAGTACCCTCGGCCGGGTCTCCAGTGCTTGCATGTCATACATGCTGACAAGGATATGAAGGGAAACTAGTTGCCGCTCAACTTTGCGGTGTAGAATTCCGCGCCGCAGGTTATGGCCAGGTACCTACAGATCAGCGGCTCCTTTCTGAATAGAAGCATTATGGAAACTGTTAGTCATTTAGTACTTTTCTGGCTGGTTCCCGCGGGCTGTACAACGGGAGACCAGACGGCAAATATGCTTTAGGCTGGCGCGCTTCCCGTGAGGCACGGCTTGTCCTCCAACAGTCTTGCTCACTTGGTACTATGGTGCATCCTTGCCTTTTGCCTTACAGTGCATACTGTTGCTCTCGGGGAAGTCAATGCGGGAGTCAAGTTTGGCAGATGGTGGCATGTATTTTTCCGTGTCTCCTCGCGACACTCGTCACCGACAACTGATAGTTGGTCTTCAATAATATGTAAAGTAGTTGCATGGGCCTCCCGTACAACAATTAGCCTACACATTACCACCGATTCCAAGTTTTGTGAAGCGATGCTCTTGTTCTAGATCCATACGGCTAAGGTGTTGATGGCTCGAGCGCACCGGATAGAATGGGAATGGGCTCCGAGTAGTAACTGGTAGGCAAAGGTGCCTGATCATTGAAACACGGTTGATGGTACTGACATAATTGTCATGAATCGATATAGAGGTTGGTTTCATAGGGTGGCTCTCTATCCATTGTTTGAAACTACAGATTTGGCGGGCGAGCCGGAGAACTGAGCGACTATCCCGATCGGGACTAGCGCCACATCTCCGAATTCTTCCTCCTCCAAAGGAATTATTATCATTGATGGCCGCCATCAATCGTGGAAAAAGACCCGGCCTGGCGACCTCCTCCCTCTCACCCACCACTCCGGATTCCGGCCCTTCCTCTCTTCAATGGCTTCCGTACTATCGACTCGCGCGGTCAGGACCGCTTCCTGCTCCGCATGCCGCTCCCTCGCTCGTCCCAACTCGATCGCAGCCGGTCTCCTTCCGCGGCGAGGACTCTCGACGGCCACCGAAGATGCAGCAGTCAACCATGCGGACAAGCCCCGGTGGTCGTACACGCCGCCTCGTGCCAAAGCGCCGTTCTCCTTGAGACTCAACTCCAACCGCCCCGAGTTCCCCGTGAACTCTGACCCCAAGGTTCTGGACCGGTTCTACATCCTCATGCTCGGAAACGACGGTGACAAGATGCTCTCGGAGGAGACCAAGTGGCTCGCAGTGACACACAAGAGTTTTGATCAGGGCCGGAGAGGTTTCAATGACCGTTTGGCCTTCCTGGGTATGTCAAATGTTGCTGTGCAATGGATGGTAACAGGATTGGATACTAATCCGGATGGGGTTGTACACAGGCAAGCGTATTGTTCAGCTGCAGGCTTCGTTGGCTCTGGTCCAGAGTCCTAGCAACGCTGCTAACTCTGCCACCCCCGATGCGTATGGCCGGGTCCCCTTCACTCACCCGGCTTTGGATAGCCTGGACAACCTCGACTACAACACGAAGAGCTTCCTTACGAGCAAGACGAAGCTGTCGGAATTGGCTCACAAGTATGACATGCAGAGAGTTGTGAGATGGTGCCCTCGGAAGGTGAGTCTAGGAGTCCCATGCATTGAGACGATATTCGAACGCCTTGCGCTACTGGGCTTCTGATATCGCCTCGCCAGTCGGTCAATTGAATCCCCTGCTAACAGCGGTGTGTTTACGTGTAGCCCAACAACCTCGAAAGTTCTGGAATGGACCTCGTTCTCGCCCACACAATGTACGCTGTGATCGGTGCCATCTCCCTGGAGAAGGGCAATGCTGTTGCGAACAAGGTGGCCCGTGAGCGCATATTAGCACCTCTGGGATTTAAGATCGCGGCTTGAGTTGGGTGATTGATTTTTGGGAAATGGCCGCAGGTGCATTTTCAAGGCGTTACTTCCTTTTTCTCTTTTCCCCTTCCCCTTGTTTTCTTTGTGCCCTGGATGTTCTGTGTATGTGTTGGGGCCTTTTCTTCATCCGCCATATATTATGTATTTTTATCTACGACTTGTCTTACATAGTGACTGCAAATACCACCGGAAGTTCTGTCTTCTCTCTTACATCTACTACACTTGTACTATGGGATCTTGAGGATTCGGTTCACATGGCATGCCATCATTATAATTTCCAACAAACAAATAAAGTAGATATCCAAAAGTATGTACGGTTCCTCTGACACCGCCCGGGTAACAGTAAGCAAAATACCCGGCCAGCTCTTATGGAACCCTCGAATACACGATGCCTAGTCTTCGCACCTTTGTATCGCAAAGTCAGCAATGAGAAACCAGGAACTCCACGACAGAATGTCACGGAAGAACCCAGAAATCACAAAAAAGCAATTTGAGCTGCCTTGCACTGTCTAGGAAGGGCGTATGGTACAAAGAAAGAAAAGAAAGGAAGAGGAAGAGAATTCGCTTGCGACGGCCGAAATATATTCTGCGCGCGTGACCAGCGCTAGGCTTCATCAGGTCTAGTGGAGATCTGGACTGGCCGGATCTCTCGAATAGGTTTAGCGCTCTGATTAAAGACCCCTGAGGCATTGATACACTCTGATACCATGATGTGACCAGGTTAAGGTAAGTTACCCCGCCACAAGCTCTTTGTCTGGCGGTGTATTGTGTACGAAACAATACCACGCGGAAAGGCAGAGCATCCCCGATGGCCGCATCATCAGTTCAAGTCAGTCTTAGTCTTGCATGATATTCGTTCCCTTCCAGCTTCATCGCAGGCACGTCGGCCAAGACCTCCTCCTTCTGCAGCTTCCTGTGAGTTCTCCGGCTCTGGTTTCTACAATTTCCCCAGTTTGAAAGTGCTTCTGAGCTATCTCTAATGCACACTGTCCCACAGCTACCTCCCCGCAAGTCCAGCATGTTGAACTAGTGGTTTCGCTGGCCTCTCCCGTTGAACCTCGCCCAGGAGCCTCCCGCCCATTTAGTCCTCCAGTACCTGCCCGACTCACCTCCTCGATACTCGCGCCATTTAACCTCCACCTTACTATTCCACCCACGACCTCCCTTCGAATACCCTCGCGATGGCGTCGGCCATCTTCTTCCTCGATCTCAAGGGCAAGGTATGAAACCCCCGTGGAAGGTTGCGCTGTCACGAACAATTCCGCCGTGATCCCCTGGAACCTGACCGTTTATTTAGACCCTTCTAGCCCGAAACTACCGCGGAGACATCCCCATGTCCGCAGTCGAGAAATTTCCCATCCTCCTCAGTGACGCCGAAGAAGAGAGCTCCGCCGTAGCTCCGTGCTTTTCCCACGAAGGAATTAACGTACGTATTTGTGTCTCCGACTTGTGGCTGCGGCGGCGCACCTGCATCTCCCCCCCGCCGTTCCCCGCAACCCGCTGTGTCTACCATCTCCCACATCAACCCTGCGCGCATACTCAGATTGGAACGCAGAATCATGGAGGTCAATTGCTGAGAATACAATCTTGTCTAGTACCTCTACATCCGTCACAGCAACCTTTACATCCTTGCCCTGACTAAGAAGAACACCAATGCCACCGAGATCCTCCTTTTCCTACACAAGATCGTGGAGGTATTCACGGAATACTTCAAGGTACTGGAGGAGGAGAGTATCCGCGATAACTTTGTCATCATTTATGAATTGCTTGATGAGATGATGGACTTTGGCTACCCGCAGACGACGGAGAGCAAGATATTGCAAGAGTAAGACGGGCCCGTCTATGCGACCAGGAGTGATGGAGGATCACAGCTAACGAGTTCATGGCAGATACATTACCCAAGAATCACACAAGCTGGAGATCCAAGCCCGACCACCCATTGCTGTCACCAATGCCGTGTCATGGCGAAGTGAGGGTATCCGGTACCGCAAGAATGAAGTCTTCCTTGATGTTGTGGAGTCTCTTAACCTCCTCGTGTCCGCGTCTGGTAACGTGTTGCGATCGGAGATTCTCGGAGCTATCAAGATGAAGTGTTATCTGAGTGGTATGCCGGAGCTTCGTCTGGGTCTGAACGACAAGGTCATGTTCGAGACCACGGGTCGCGCAACAAGAGGAAAGGCCGTCGAGATGGAGGACGTCAAGTTCCACCAGTGTGTCCGTCTTTCTCGGTTCGAGAATGACCGCACCATCAGCTTCATTCCCCCGGATGGCGAATTCGAGCTGATGAGCTACCGGTTGAACACCCAAGTCAAGCCTCTGATTTGGGTGGAATGTCTGGTGGAATCGCACTCTGGATCGCGCATGGAGTACATGTTGAAGGTACGGCCAACACCCCGCCTTTACTACTCAAGAGAAACAAAACGACCAAGCTAACACCATCCCTCCTTAACAGGCCAAGGCCCAATTCAAGCGCCGCAGCACTGCCAACAACGTAGAGATCCTCGTCCCAGTCCCGGAAGACGCCGACTCACCCCGTTTCCGCACCAACATCGGAACCGTGCACTACGCGCCCGAGAAATCCGCCATCATCTGGAAGATCAAGCAGTTCGGCGGAGGCAAGGAGTTCCTCATGCGCGCAGAGCTGGGTCTGCCGTCCGTAAAGGGCGACGACGAGCACGGTGGTGGCATGACCGGTGGTTTCGGAGGTAGCATGGGTGGAACCGGGCAAGGCAAGGCAAAGCGGCCGATCAACGTCAAATTCGAAATCCCTTACTTCACTACTAGCGGTATCCAAGTCCGGTACTTGAAGATCACGGAACCTAAGGTATGTCCATCTATCCCATGTCAACTCTCGTGACTCCCCCATCATCAGTCGGATTGGCAGTCTCGTCACACAAGCACAATGCAATGAAATGAATGCATGAGTGAATGCTAACAAATGACCCGATGATTGCAGCTACAATACCCCTCCCTCCCATGGGTGCGATATATAACACAATCAGGCGACATTGCTGTCCGCATGCCAGATGTACAATGATGTAAAGCGTTTCTTCTTTCTTTTATTTTTTCTCTATATCTTTTCTTCTCCAGTTTTCATTCAATAGATATACTTTCTTCCCTTTTTTTTTGCATCAAGCATGGATGAATCATTTATCTATTGATGGAGTGTACTCCTTGTACAGATTGGTTCACTGGCACATGATCATCGGGCAATTTGATAGTAGTAGGAATGTTGCAAAAAGTAGTTCTCTCTTGGCCTCAGGCAACGTGAACGTGACATGATATACCACAGAAACCTCGCCATTGCCTTATAACTACGCACTTAGTGAGTACTAGCAATGTCTAGATCACGGGACTGGAACCAATTGAAGCGAACGACCCAAATCTACTACTTACTTTGTATTTACTGCCGCTAGTAGTATATGCCATGGTTCCATGTTATTGCATCATTTATAATATATTGCATTTTTGTTCCGCGGTTCCCGGTCTCTCACATCCTCGTCTTCTTCCTCTTTCTTCATTGTTTTCTTTTTCCAGGATATCGACACAATGACCATGTAGTATAGAACCAATAGATATGGACTGAGAATAATTTGTGAGAAACAAGTACATCAATGAGCAGGTGAGTGAGTGAGTGGAGACAGTCATAAGGAAATGAAGACAATAACTTTTTACCAGCCGTGGAACATAAGGACCAGCATGTTACAAATAGTAATAAAAGTATGGATCCAGATGAGAAAGATCGATATGGTATGATATGATATGATTTGGAGAGTCTGAATGTGCGAGAGAGAGAGAAGAAAGAACAGTATACATACATATAGAATGCCATGCATGCTAAGTAGGGTATCTTTGTCTTTTAATAAAACAGATTTGTTTTGGTTTTGCATTACGTACTTACTCACACATTTCTTCTGCTCATAGCTTTCGTAGGTTAGAATGCCGTGTAGGCGACGCTGGCTAATAGGTAATTGGTTCGTTGGGTGCAGTGAAGTGAGATGCTGTTTTGCGTTTCTTTTTCGTCATAAGGCGTACGAGTCCGTTTTCCCTTTCATATTTGGTGGAGTGCTTGGCTGATTTGAGGGATAGCCGGTGGCGGCCGGTCGAGGAGTCAAATCAATGGGTCCCGTTGCTGTTGTCCGGGGATTCGGCCGCAGGGAGGGGGAATCCGTCCCCGTGACCGGTTGCGGCGGCTTTGGAGAAGCCCTCTCGAGCTAGCATGGTGTTTAGGACGGCGCAATTGTAGGCTGCCTCGCCCGGCGGTACAACTAGGAAAATGTATGTATTGTCCGTGAAACGGCCGAGGAAGACATTGAATTGCGGAGTCTTCGTGTGCATGACGACGAACCCGGCAGATGCAGGGGTTGTGTGGGTGTTCCGCGCCGCACAGTGCTTGAAGGCTTTCATAATGTTGGAGAGTCGTTCATGGCGATCATAGATGGGGTTCAAGTCGCCTACTTCTGAGGAAACGGAAGTTACGGTGAGGAAGGTTGACCGTTCGAACAGGATGACTTCTTCGGCATCAATTCGCTTGGAGAAGGCTTGCAGGAAGCGCTCGATGACAGTCAAGTTTGGAATAAGCTTGTGGACAATGCCAGCCCACGCTTTGTAGAGCGATTGATCCCAAATACTACTGCCAAAGGTGTCGATGCTGAAATGCTCCGAACGACTGCGAATTAAGGCGGACCGTTCTTCGTAGATGCGTTGGCGGTGCTCGGCTTGGATGAGATCCAGTTTATGTACAAGGCAGAACACGTAGGCATTGGGACTGTATTCTTTCAGGGCGTTGATAATGGCGTTGTAGGTGTCAAGATCGCGCTCGACCTCGCGGGATTCAATGTCGAAGACGTAGATCAGGACCGCGACGTCGGAGAAGATGTTCCCTCGCTGAGACGCGAGATATGTTTCCATGAATGCATCCTGTCTGTTTATGGTAAAAGAGCATGTTGGGTTAGACACTGCAATGATTCGAGAAATGCCTGAGACTGCGACTTACCCTCCGCAATCCCAGAGGTTCAGCGTGAGGTTTCCCATGAACTTGACATGGCTGTGCTCGACATCAATGGTAGCACCCAGGCGTCGGACATCTTTCGCAACATAATTGCTGAAGATGATTGAGCGCATGGACGATTTTCCAGATCCACTTTTGCCCATCAAGAGGACCTTTCTCTTCTTCTTGCGCATATCCATTGTGGCAGTTCCCCGGAGCTATCCGTTAACCGTACCCCGCACTTACGGGGCTGGTGATCGTTCAGATGGATGGCAACCGTGAAGAGAAGTGGGATTTAGCATCCGCATAAATACCTCCAGCCCATGGGATGCAGTAGGACCCTGCAAGTCGAGGGAGGTAACGATCTCCACAGGCAATGAATGGGCGAGGGTGGTTGGTTGGACAGAAGGAGCAGCAGCAGCCGGATGACCAGCCTTCCGGGCGTCATTGCATGAGCTTCTTCCCCGGGATTAATAATATTCCGGTCCCATCACGTGGAGAGCGCACGGTCCACCCTGGGCTGCTGACATTGAAGGTGGATGGGATGCAGAGTGCACGGTCAGTGATGCGAGTAATGTATTGTCCCTCTCACCGAACTATCCATCTCCTTCCCCCCTGCCTTGGAAATCGTCCACGGAGGTGGCGTTCATCCACATTCCTCCCATGTGCCTCCATTGTTATTAGACTTTCTGCACGGAAGGGGGGTTTGCCAATCATCAGGCTCCACTTCATCCATAGTGGATTAACTAGAACCAAAACATTATCAAACTAGCAAAGACACTATCCCCATAATAATTCCTTTTCCAAGGATAATAGTCAGGATTGAGACTGCTGGCGGAAAGTCTAATCCCAGCCAGGTTAACTTTTATGATCACATTTCCATCCAAATATAGGCAAGAAGGTAAAAAGGGCCCAAGGAACTGTGTACAGGAAAGGTAGACGATCATCTCTTCACGATGATCCTACAGAAGAAATTAGGTATAAAGTCGGCCAGGTGCCGCAGCAGAGACCTTTGTACAAAACGAACAGAAAAAGGGGGAGCCACAGGCGATGGGCACGAAAGTAGTAAGACGCATAAACATCCGGTCATCAAAGTCGTAAGCACGACCACCAGCCGTGGAACGGGCGTCGACTGGCGGTGTCAGGTATCCAAAACATCAACAGATATGCGATCATTAGAAAACAGTGCCATCGGAACGGATCATGATCGGAGGTTCTTTCGTGTTGGGTCTCGACACTTCGGCAATCTCACGGCCACCCTATTACTTCTGCATCAGCAAATGTCGCCCACGTAAAACAATGAGTGCAGGGATAAACTATCACATACCTTCCAGGATCCAGCCTCAAGCATTTGTGCAAGGGTCAACTGATCGTCTCCCGTCAGTCCAAGCTGACCGTTCACTTCATCCAGTAGCTCATCCAGGAACCCAACGGTCACAGCCCGCCATTCAACGACAACGTCATCATCCGTGGAGAAGAGTGGTACAACTTCCACGTTGGGTTGGCCCTTGATCTGCGCATTCTCCTTGTATGCGGCAATACCCCGCTCCAAATCGTGTTCCTTCAGAGTCAACAGACCCATGTCAATCAGCAAACCACCGTTCCGGTATTCGGGTAGACCCGTGAGCAGTTCACTGCCGGCGAAATGGATCTTCATCAGCTTCGACATGGGCACCATGATAGAGTAGCACAGCCACTGCGTAAGCTTGTGGAAGGGGACGATGCTCTCCCAGGGTTTCGCAGGGGGAGACTTGGGGAGATCGGAGCACGGCCAGGCGTCTCCGATAGATAGCCCATCAATTTGTGTGCGGGACGGCGGCCAGATCGGAGACAATCCATCCATAAGGACACTCCAGAGCGTGGTGATAGGCACAATTGGAACCGACGAAGCAAGTGTAGACGGATGAGAAAGGAGGTAGTCTAACGATGATATGTTAGTCGAGATCCCAGCGACCCTTCATCGAATAAAGCCTTACCGAGCATGTTGCCTGGCCTAGCATCTACCCCAAAGAAATCTTGGTTGTTCAGGGCCTCGGAAAGTCGGATCAGAAGACCAGCTCGGCCTTCAATTCCCGCCAAGGGGTTGGTTTCGGAGTGTTGCATTCCCTTTGCCAGTACTTCGACCGTGATCTTCTTCAGGCCTGCCCCATCCACTTGACAAGGCTCCGTCGGATCGCTGCTGAACAAACCACTCTTAAACATTTCCAAGGTTGCCACGGCCAGACCCTCGCTCCGCGAATAGATCTTGCCGGACTCCTTCGACTTGTATGACCACCTGGTACCTGCACCAGCATCGAGAAGGACGGAAACAACGAAAAGGTCGATCAATCGCCGGGTGCGCTCCTGCGCATCAATGGTACTGGGCCAGGACTGGAGCAATTGGTTAACGCGGGGTCGTCCACCCACGTCGAAGTGTTGCCAACGGCCATGAGGAGGAATGGAGTCGTAGTCCGGGCCATAATCTCTCTGCAAACGATAGCTCCAATTAGCAAACCTGAGAGGGAATAGAGGGACTGGCTAATCTTTTGGCCGAGAGGGCTGCAGCATGTAGTATGTACCTTGATAATGGAGACAATGTAAGATGCAGTGGCCATGAATTTGCCCATATCCACATCAAAGTGGTTGAGTCTATTTCTCTTGGCCTTGTTCAAAACAAGGCTGCAGCGCTCACGGACAGCATGGATACTCCGCAGGTAGGCCGCTGGATCGAGGGCCGGATCAGGTGGTTTGGCGATGGGTAGTTCTGGGATGGAGGCAGGCAGCCCACTTCCTTTATAACCGGGCGATCTCAATGATGCATTGGAGGTGCGAGCACTGTTGACGGTTACGGTCGAGTCGAAATCCTCCTTCTCGCTTTGAATCGAGTTCTTAGAGTCTTTGCGCTTAAAGAGACCCATGGTGACGGGGAGGGGTCAATAGTAGAGACGGAGGGTGAAACACAACAAACGCTCCCTAGCACTCAGGGGGAAGAAAGAACACTTGTTCGTGCCAGGGGATTGACAGTGAGGTGGAACACTCGAGGAGGGAAGGGAAGGGAAAAAAAGAAAGACAGATGAGAGGCCCTGGTGCCAGAAGAAAGCAGACCGGAAAAATGGACACCAGAGGGGAAAAGGTACATAAAAGGATGGTGATCTGCGGCAGTTGCGGGAGACTCGAAGAAGAAAAAGAAGAGAAGAGGCCCTGGTGGGTGGTGACTTTCGGTTTTGACTCTTTAGTCTGACTCTTCTCTCTATTTTTTAATTTTCTGTTTGTTATTATTTTTATTTTTTTTTTTTCTACCTTCTGTAATTTTTTGGGGCCTTTTCAATTCCTTTGGGCTTAAAACTTTTTTTTTTCTTTACAGCATGGAGGAACAAATAATACTAATAATAAGGACGAGAAATAATAATAACAGGAATAATACGGGGCGGGGCGGCCGAGTGAGCTTAGGAGGAGTTAGGAAAGGTTAGGAGTTAGTAGCCCAACTAGCAAGACATCATTGGAGCGAAAAGGAGTGGTCCGTAGCCACTGGACCTTCACGGAGCATACACCCAGTGAACTAGTCGAGCCCTCGGAGTCGGGAGGTGGAGAGCTTGAGGGGGGCAGAGGTCTTGTCGGAAAGGCTCCAGTTCGATGTTAAAAAAGGGTGCATGGCGGGTTGGCCGATTTAGCGTTCTGATAGGAACCGATTCGTACCATTGTTTACCGTTCCCACGGTCGTGAACACTACTGGAAATGTAGTCGGTTGAAAAGAACTTAACTTTCCACCAGTACCTGGTATTTACTGGGTAGTAAAGTAAAGTAAGTAGTCCCTGTCAGGTACAAAGTAACAGGAGACAGAAGAACAACATGGGGCCAATAGTAAACATGCATAACTGGTAACATATTGGTTTAAAGCAAATGATTCCAAAAAAGGTACAGATAGGCTACAGAATTCGACCATCCCATGCCTAGGTAGTCAGTAGTTAGTATCTAAGGGCAGTCAGTCCGTCCCTTGGGGAGAAAGGGCCAAACTCAGGGCCAAGGGACCAAGACTACCGCGGAGTATTCAGTCCGCGGCGCAATCAACCCGACGCCAGTGATGAGGTCAGAGAATATCAGACCAGTTGGAAGAGTGGAAGATAGATACATCTAACTAGTCAATGTCTGATGTGCCCTAAGTATGTAGGTGCATGATGGTGCATGCATGATAAACCCAACCCGACCCATCCATACGCGCGCATTACCATACGTACCGCACGGTACCAGACCGGTACCTGGTCCCGGTGATGGTGGGGGAGGGAGCCCATAACTGGCCCCGTGTCTGGTTAAGTGCAAACTACCCAGAATGGAGCAGTTTCCAACGGGTCTTGGGCGACGACTACTTTAGCACCTCCCCCTAAACTCATCACCCATCAACTTCCTCCTCGGTGCTACGGCCGACCAAGGGATGCTGTGTCCAGATCGATGGAACAATGGAAAAATAGGTTAAATTAGCGAGGACCAAAAAAGAAAAAGAGGAGTACAGGGGAGCACAGACAAGCCTGCGCACAAGGCTATACGTACCAGGTTCATTTGCTCTCCCCCTCTCCTCCTCGCCCCGACACGGCGGATCTAGCAGGCTGTTAGTCACTCTGCGCCTCCAGCATTTCACCGAATCGGGACATGTCCCTCCCATGGAACCATGGCTCCTTCACCTGTAGCCCAAAGATAGAGGGGAAGAGAAACCAAGATATGACTCGAATCAATGCTAACGAAGGCGCCAGGTAGATAGATAGGATATACCCCCATCCACATTTGTGAATTATTGACCGAGCGCCGACCCCTCCTCCCCTTGGCAACCTAGGTCAGTGGCGGGTATCAGTCAAGCTCTCCATCTTCTTCAATGTCCACTCCTAGCTAGCTATCTTCTATCGAAGTGCACTGATACTCGGCACAATTGTGGTAATGGTGTGCAGGGCCAATAGTCACTGCCCAGGCGCAATGTTGGCTGCTATAGTGCGATGCTCCCGCTTATCTGGGGAATATCTCCGATCTGATGGCGTGTGACTCGTGATTCCTTTTTACTTCAGGGGTGGTGAGCTTATGCCGCGTCTATCTAGCTACTATCACCCCATATTGACTATAGCCGCGGCATAGTCTACCTTATACGTACATGTCGATGTTTCACTTTAGGAGGAAATAGCCTGGCTGCAGCCTTGCCTCCATATCGTTCTGCTTTGCTAACGCAATCCTGATCCACAGGCGGTGGCAAATTCGTAGGGAGACGGAGAGGCGATTGAAACTAAAGTGTAGATAGTGTTCACATTGTCAATTGCCCTGGTAATTGCTATATTTGGCTTCTTGTTCGATGTTACGTATAGGTGCTAAATATGGAAGGTGTTTAGTAAAGTATAGTCAGGCTACTTACTGCTGCGCCACAACAGTGGAATCGGGTGTCGTGAAGCATATAGTTTAAAGAATCATTGAGATGTACAAGGTTAGTGGTCAATGACAGTATGACTGTTTCTGTCAGATAACCGTTTCGTGCCTTTTCCAACAGATGTGATGGTCAGACTGTAGCTGGGGCGTTATGACTGTTGGTGACCCTATAGTGCACAACTGGAGAACTGAAGATCCCAACACGAGCCGAAGGCCGATCATGCTTCAGGTAGAATATCACCCAATAGTGCCAATCGCGCTGCGCTTGACAAGACTTTGTCTCGGCACCTACTACCACCCACAACATCCGGCATTCGCAATTGTGCAAGAATAGAGCAGAGCCAGCAGTATGCGAAGAATTGGCCCTTTGGGAGATCGGCAACCCTATTTCCATCAAGTGTGCGACTCCCGAAAGGAAGGGAAGTAGCCGATACGCGCATTTATGGTTCAAGTGGACCTTGGTTTGAATCGTACGTGGGCACGCAACTATTGCCGTGTCGATCTCAATCCGGCAGGATCGTCCACACCAGAATATTCGAACTAGTAGCGAATAAGTTGACGGAAAATAATTTCTAGTCCGTCTGAACTTCTGAAGCATGTCAGGTGCAGAATGTAATATTAGTTGGGTTGGAGACGATCGCAAAGAAAGTGCCGCAGGTCTGCGATACGTTTCATAAAGTGTGAAAATACTAAACCTCCAGGTCGTTCGTAACAGGTTGGTTTTACCAACACGGCGATTTCACATGGGTCACGTCCGATGAGGTTTGTAGCCCAATACCTGTAGGTTGCTTTTTTATAGCTACCCGCATGTCATCTTTGCTTTTGTAGAACACATTGGTCGGATGCGAGGGCGCTAGGGCGGGATAATGTTTCTTGAGCTTCGCGCTCGTGTTGAGCCCACTTTCCGACAACCCTATGAAATTGTGCAGAGCGGGATGATGATCATTGATAGCAGTAGGTAGTAATATGATGATGGAGAAGACTGACTGGGCTCGGATGCCTTACACAGTCGATGGACACCCTACAGAACAGGAAGCAGCAGCCGGTTTGAATACCTTCTTAGATCTATGGAGCTTTTCAGAAAGCAAGTGAAACATTCCTATGCGACATGGACTGGGCCTAACTACAAACATCATCGACATGCTTCTACTATTTAGAATACAGTAGCTCTACCGCCTAGAAACCTCCTTTGACAGCTCTTGGATGAGTGCTGGATATAGGCATAGATTTGTCGATCATGCCCATGGTGTCGCGTGAGATAAATAAATAGTATTGGACTGCAACTGTTAATTCCTCAGGATCCTCCCATGTATTCCTTCGAGTCGATATTTTATCGTACTCTCTCGTGAAGAAGTAGCAGGGCGGAGATGTGGCTCACACCACCATTTGTAATTTGAGTTCAGCCGGAAGAATCCTCTTAAAGTTCGGCTTCTTGCCCCTCCAAAAGCCTCCGTATCCCCGGGTGTCGCGCATCTGCGGTCATTCAGTAGAGGATGTTGTCAAGAGCGACCGTGTCTGGCTTGAGTAAAATTGCCCTTATACTAAGGTAAGGTATATACCGTGGCGTCATTTAAAATTACTGTTACTGTTACCGTTTCAGACGGCAAAGAACAGCAGCTGGCGACTGGCACATGTACTGGGGTGGGTTCTTTGGTTGATGAACTCTGCAGCTAGGCGAACCCCAGAGTAGTCGAAGCCTTGTAGGTATATTACCTGATCTTATGACTGTCCCATCCAGGTCATTGTGGCCCCCAATGGCCTTGCTATTGATAATGAATATTACATTTCACGGTTGGAGTGGATCCAGAGCAGAGTAGAGTTATTATCGCGAGCTGCATGTGTGATGCCAACTTAGGATACAGTAAGTGGGAAGTGTCGCCAAACTTTGGGGTTCCTCCGATATAGGCAAGGTGTGCTTACTAGCCATAGGCATTTTCAGAGTACTGCTCGGTACTGGGAAATAATATCGTATGATACTGATAGTGCTAATTGGAGAAGCTTGTGTGTATTTGGGAAGATTATATCCGAACGACTCCGCGCACCCTGTACTTTTGGGAGGATAGGAAAGAAGAAAACCCTTGTATTAGTCGATATGCACAGTTGCTGCAAGCCCCTCCCACCTTCCCCTCCAAAAATGACAAATGTCAATGCACTGGCGTACCCGCTAACGCGGAAAACACGGCCCTGGCCATACTGCTGGGTCGCCCGGGTTTCAGGTTTAACGTTCCGGGTATTTTAATTTCGCGGCGTAATCGAGGCATTGACAACATGATCATTGTGATATAACCACATCTGAAGAGAGCAAGAAATCACTCATCCATCGCGAGTGTTTTAACTTCGTCAGGAGACAGAAAGACCCGGAGTAATCCGAGCTCTTACAATTGGGTCCGGAGAGGTCCAACAAATTGGCCCGTAAGATCAACGGCGGCTACTGGTAAGAGACCCGATGCTAGTTGAAGCGACTGACATGACTCCTTAGTGCGACTACTAATCTTGTCATCTTTGCCTACGAGACTACCCGCCCTACCAGTACCGCACCATTCATTTCCCCCGAATTTCCGCCACCAACATTAACATCCAGCGGAGATTTCGTGTGGCCCCTCTTGTGTTTACATGAGTGCGTTACTTTCAATGAACAACAGCTGTTGGGTAGTATCACTACTTGCAACATTCGTTATGGTCGTCGATTAGTCTTCCCAGAGATTCCTGGAACATATTACCGGAGGGGATTATGTGCCTCAAGGTCATGTTGTGCGAGACCACTACTATACCCGAGTGATGGCTGACTCCAGTTCAGACAATAAGACCACCTGTCTTTCCTTCCTGTCAGACATGATGATCGCCTGTTCCATCCTGACCACCCCGCTTAGTCGGTATTGGAATAATTCCCGATGCTCCCTTGACGCTATCGCGCATCCCTGTCAGGCCCCCGCTGTCATCCACAACGATTGGTAGTGGGAAATGGATTTCATCCCGTCGGGGATTCCTAGACGCTTGTTGAGTGCTGACATGGCTGGTTGCCGTAAAGTAACTAATTGTTTCGCCAATTGGTGAACACCGTGGCTGCCCTGATCCCACTACTGTAGGAACCCTTTCGATATCACCCGCGAAAGTTTTTCTTTTTACAAAGATAAAGGCTCTGTCAAGGACCTGTTTTCCGGTGCGGGGCCTAGGATGACCTTGGTCTGTTTACACCATTCCCTGGAAGTAGCAACTAATTATCATGAAACTGCTCTTCAGATTGTTAGGCCCATCATCCTTCGGAGTTTCCTTACTCGCATCTAGCTACCATTCTTGAGCCTCGATTCTCCGTACCGCTCGCTTAGCACTGAGAAGTCTCGCCTTTCAATTTTTGTCGTTGGCAGCCCCCCCCCCCGAAGAGCCACCGGGCCCCATTCTCCCAGAGCGCCCGGTCCAGTCACTACCATGGACAAACCTCGGAAGCCTAAAAACTTCCTGTGCGGTTAGTGGTCGCTACGCAGTAATCACTGGCCATCGTGTCCACATCCCCATAGGGAATTGCCGCGTATCCAGTATGGATCCGTGTGCAAAGGTGACTGACATTGGTGCCCACAGGAGCCAGCCGATCTACAGCCTGTAGACGGGGCGTCAAGAGAAGCGAGGAGGCAGAGGCAAAAGTAATGACTAGCCAGCAAGAGACTCGAGCTTGAAAGCTAAATCGTCGAATTTACCCACTGTAATTCATCTGCTTTGAGCATTAAGACCACACCACGTTGCTTGGCTAGAATAGCACTGTGAGACATCCGTAGTGCCTTGTCTTCAAGGACTGGTGTGCCACTCAATCTTCAAAAGTACTAGTCTAGTGCTCACAGGCCAGCTTGGAGATGCCCATCGTCCTAGACCTGCGGAATCAAGCCCAAAAATCCCATTCGGCCGCCGAGGTCTGGGATGATAGTAATCACATCAGGTTAACAGTCTAGATTTGGGTCCACTGTGCGGTGGATAATTGATCCCGACCCAGATACTATCTACGTTGTACTAAGTTTTGTTAGGCTGCCAGGCAAGGCCAGAAGGACAGGTTCCAGTCATTTTGTCGTCCGAAAGGATGACTCAGCTCCAGGGGGCTGGGTGCACGTGCCTTACTCCCCTCAGCCTCTCACGTGTTGAAATGCACCGCCACATTTTATGCCCCATCGGCAGCCCTCAGCCACCGCGACGGTCGCGGCCCTCCATCTTTAGGGGAACAGTAGTGCCGACTGATGAAACAACAGTTGGCGGGCTCATCAATCCCCCTTTGACTTTTGCTAGTTGGCAGAATGATTCTTTGAAGGGCATCTCCTCATACTGCAATCAAGCCGCATCTTCTGTGAATTCAATCCTCAATCTCCCGACTGGATCCACTCACTCCGCTGCCCGGTGACCGTTGATGGTGAGCTAATCTAGATCATGGCATCCTCACATCCTCCGCATACGGCTTCAATCCTAATACGATCCCTCCAGACATTACCCCACTAATACATTTCACACCACTATAATCACAATGGACGACCTAAACGGTCTGAGCTGGACCTCCAGCTCATCGAATGATACTCGCAAACCCCCGCCGATGAACACAGGCCTATTATTCCCGACCGTTAGACAGAGTGATACTTCTGGCCGTTCCACGCCCCTCTCTGGCTCCTCTGGCCCATCCAATGCTCCCTCAAAGTCCGCAACGCCGGACAAGGACAGCTTTGCAAACCTTGTCTCCTTCAACTCATCCAATGCCAACAAGAACCTTACATTACTCGAGCAGCAGAAGAAGCTAGAGCAGGAGAGAGCTAGAAAGGAGGCGGAGAACAGATCGCGTTTCGAATCGCAATATGGAGGGCAAAACACTCATTTCTGGGATAGCTTAGAAAAGGGCAGGAGTAATAACGGGTTTCCCACTTCTGGTACTCCTGCTCAGCAGAGTGTCACATCGACCGACGAGGACGATCTTCTGGCCGCCTTCAATGCGTCTGCGCCAGTAGACGCATCGACGAACTTTCCGGTGCCTAGCCCCAGTCCTTCGCCGCAACAACTAAGCTCGGTGCAGGCGACACTAAGCAATGCGGGTTTGTCGCAGCAAACCGACCCGATGTCTTTTCCTGATGACGATGATCCCTTCGGCCTTAACCAGCTGAAGTCCAAGCCCGCGCAACCTCCACAGCCCGCGCAGGCCAATGATGACGATGACTTTCTTGGCTTGCTGGGCAAGCCTGTATCTGAAATCCCCCGACCAGAGCCTCCTGCGAAATCGCCTACCCCCGTTGAAAGAGAAAACAACTCGCCGCCCCCTAGGCCGTCTAATGGAGTGGATCGGGCAATTGCAGAGCTTGTTGACATGGGCTTCCCTGCAGACAAATCCAGTCGGGCTTTACGAATGACACAATCCGGCACTGATGTCCAGGCTGCTGTTAGCTTACTTCTCACCCAAGCGCATGAAGAATCACGCCAAAAGTCGAAGAATCGACCAACTTCGGATGAACGGTTCACCGAGCAGCCGAGCAGAAGTCGCGATCGCAGTGAAAGGTCTGGGCGTGACGCACCTTCATGGATGCAGCAGGAGCGGTCACGCAGCAATAATCGAACCTCTTCGCCGGCAGAGAAGGATCCGTCACAGCTTGCGGCGACTTTTGGAAACAACCTGCTCAAGACAGCGAACTCTCTGTGGAAGACTGGCAGCAAGAAAATGCAGCAAGTGGTTCAGGAGCTCAATGCTGACCACGATGCAAACCAACCTCGCTGGTTGAGAGACGCTGCTTCGCATGAAGAGCCCCCGTCCCGTGATCGTTCTCACGTTGCTAGTCAGCCCCAAGCCCGACCTGAATTGATGACAGACGAGGCGCTCCTATTAGAGTCAGGTGGTCCTCCTCGCCCGTCTCGCAATGCCATGCGGTCCGCCGACGGGCCTTCATCTCGTCCAAGCAGCAATGGTGCTAGACACCAGCCGTCTCCAGTTAGCGAGCGGCGTATGCAACAACCCGTCTTTGTGCAACAGCAGCCAAGAGCAGAGACTAGAGACCCTAGATCCCGGTTAACGAAAACAGCTTCGGAGGAGCAGTCAGCACAGGCATATGTCAGTCCTGCGCGGAGAAAACGCCCCGTTGCCCCATCGCCTGCCCCGGAACCCAACGTCGATTTGTTTGAGAGTTCTGCGCCAGCGCCTGTCCAGCGGCCGAAGCCCTCACCTGCACCTGCACAACCACCAAGGAGACCAACACCATCCACCGCTTTACCTTCAAGGCCCAAGGCTCCGACCCGTGCTGTTCCGCCAGTTGCTCAGGATGTCCTCTCCTCTTTGCATCGGCAGCGTGAACTAGCAGCCGAGGCCTACAAGAGGGGCGACTACGCCGCTGCACATGAGGCTTTTACAGCGGCACTCACACCGCTGCCGAACAAGCACCCTATCACGATCATTATTCGCAGCAATCGCGCCATGACTGCGCTAAAAACTGGCGATCCCAAGGCGGCAATTAGCGATGCGGACACTATGCTGGAGGTCATCGGTCCTTTGAAGGGAGAAGGCGAGAGTATCGACCTCCT